CTAGTTAGCGGCACTCTCACATCGACACCTTTGAAATGCCTACCTGTTCTCTCCGGCATCGCACCTGCTGTGCTTCGCCGAAACTTCCTGACGATGAAACTCACCCGTAACTGCAGTGACCCCGACAGCCTCGTCTCCAAACCTGTAGACCCAGCCAACCTGAGACTTCTTCGCAAGCACTTCTTCACAGAAGCTCATAAACTTGCCTCATCTCAGCCGTTCCATCCTGACTTGGTCCAACCTGAACCGACTCAGATCAGACGCTGGCTGCACCCAGCAATACCTTTGTAGGATTGGTGCCTCTATTCTGATCTGTGTGCGTGCGGAACCACCCAGGACACTAACCAGATCATCCAGGAATGCAGTATCTTTGGACCCCTGATGACGCTGCTGCCTCGATGACCCTTGATGATGCTACTATCAACTGTCTGTCCTCGGACCTCCCAGTTTAGATGGTGTCCACACGAACTAACGAATGAAGGGAGTCATAAAAATGGGTCTTGTTCGCAATGGGTTGCGGGCAGACTTGTTCGTTAGAATCTTAATCCACTTTTGTTCATAAGCGGCAAAAGAGACAAAGTTAACAACTGTGCGGCTTTACCTTGCTGGGGTGTATAGCTGCATGTCAAGTATTTTCTCAAGACCTTAGATAAATGGGATAGTTCTGTCTTTTACTCAGTAAATAAGGCAAACAGAAACGGATTTGATTTTAACTTCAAGAGCAAAAGCACGGGCAGAAAAATCAAATGAAAAAAGAAGAAGAGGAATATTTACAAGAATATCAACAAAATAATCAAATTAAATCAGAGGATCTTCCGCAATTCAAGAACTCGACTTAAGAACGATCCCAAAAATTCAGGGTTTCTCTGAAGATGACAAAATGTAACAGAATTTAACTAAGGCAAATCAAAAGAAACTTCTCAATCAAGCAAATTAAATCGCAGGTTGAATTAGCACGGGTTAACTTAGCAGGTTAACTTAGCAAGGCATACAAATTAGCAAATTTGCAACAACACAAAAAATATGAAAGCTCAATCCAACAAAATAATTCAACAATTTCTCAACTGAGTCTTAACAAATATTAACGGAAACTTTGCTGATCCAGCCAAGCAGCGAAAACAGAAATATCAATCCAAATCTTCAAATAAAGCCAACTTAGTTGTTACATTAAAAGAAACAAAGTAAAGAAAACAAAGCAACCGGTCTTTAATTTTACAAATTACAATTTAAATCAAAGCCAATTTGAGGGTTTTAGATTCCAGATTCTAGATAATGTTTAAGATACTTGCAACCTTCCCCAGATACAGAATTCGGCTCAGGTGGGTGACACTACCGTTGACTGGATTGTCGTCTCTGCCTTGATCAGTGTGTTGATCAGTCACCGCCTGGCTACAGTGGGGTCCCTGCCATTTACAGATTGGTCTCACGGGATCGGAATAGGGTTGGTTGTTCCTACCAGGGAAAATGGTTATCTATGAAATGTAAAATAACCCAAAACACTACAAATCTCGGTTCTTTTGGAATTACACATGAAAATACAAATTGATCTCAAACGGTGTCTAAATAAGTGGATTCAGATTATAACCAAACACGACTCAAAAAAAAAGTTTTTGATTCTTGGGGAGTGTACTCTTGGGGTAAATAAAATCAATATTTATAAATAATGATGCACACTACTTTTCAAAAAATAAATAAATTAATCTGTTACATTTTTGCAAAAAGCAGATTTGGTCCACAATAATTTCAGTGAATAAAAAAAATTCAAAATGAATCTGAAGTGTTCTTACACAAAATTAATGAGGCACACAGCTAAAGATAAAAAGGAAATGACAACAAATTGATTTCACATACATTTGTGTCTATCCTCATCTTGTATCACGGTTTATACAAGCAGACTTGGGGGCGGTGGTGGAGGGGGGGGGGGGTATTCTGGCGGGGGAGGCTGGGGCCGGGGAGAGAGACCTTGTTTGACATTAGAGGACGCTCTTTCCCAGCAATTCTTATCTCAGTTTTTTTTCTTCATATTGAGCAAATCTGTAGAGGGGAAGGGGATTAGTAGCATCAATTTTAACAAATAAAAGAAGGCACTCTTGGTTTTATTTTTTTTATTTTTTGTTTTGTGTTTTGGAGGAGGGGGGCCGGGGGGGGGGGGGGGAGCCCACGTTGCAACCGCCCCCAAAAAATCTTCCTTTGAGCCTAGTGTGGAACTTCGAATTGACACTCGATCCTGGTGGCCAAGGGCGTCAATCACTTCTCAAAATCGCCCATCAGGAGAGAGGGGGGGGGGGGCATATACCTTGAACAGAAAATTAATGCGCGAAGCCATAATGGTCTGGGGTTTGCGACCTGCTTAATGACCCCGGAAAATTGTGGATTCTAGAGGCTCTGTCGTGCAATCTGAGGCAACATCTGACCACTTTAACCAATTTTTTTTAACAAAAGATTATCATTTAAATATCATTTTCGAGTTTGGAGTCATTGAATCAGCTGTTCTGAGCTGAAGAATTAAATATAGGCTGTAGTACTTTTTATTTGGGGACGAAGAAAGTGGGGAGGGGGCAAACGATATGACATCCCCCACTTAAAAAAAGGGGGGTCTTGGGGCCGGCCGTCCCGCACCGATCGATGCCCATGAATTGGTGGCAATGTCTCTTGAATAAAGAACAATCAGTTAAGGCAAAATTTTTCTGAGATTTTGAAGGCACCAATTGCATAGTGGGGGGGGGGGGGGGGGAGGGGGGAGGGCACGATGTTGGGGACTATAAATGCACCCTGCCTAACACCCGAACCCCAAAAGCCATTTTAAAAAAGGAGAAGCAAGGCCATTGAGAGGAGGCCCGAAGCATACTATGTTATGCAAATATAAAACTCTTTTCATGTTAGAAATGCCAACAGAGGAAAAATTTGACGCTGAAAGTTTGCAAGAAGTTTGAGATACATATATAAAACATACACAAATACTTGGCATATCTTGTCTGCAATTTAAAAAAATACACACCTATATAGTCTGGATTCACTACACTATATACTGTGGACCTTATTGTTGGGTCATTCCATAAACGTGGGGTCAAATTTGTGTGTGTTCCTATTACATCTGACATTTATACGATTGTGTAAATTCAGGACACATTCTTTAAGGGGAATGCACAACATTTGCTTTTGCTGCAATTTTCAGAAATAAATGGATTTGGAGGATTAGTATGTTATAGCAAATATTGTTACACTGACTTGTTTTGCGTTTTGGGTTCGTAGATGCTGGAAAACCAAGAAAACCAATCATATTCTTGTAGTCTGGTTCCCAGTCCCCTCTTAAGATGAGGAACAATTTATAGACTTTGGGGAACTGTACGATCAGAGAATCAGTCTAGCAGGCTTGAAGTCTTCACAGGTGTGTAATTGCAATTGCAAAGAAAACGCAGACGAACTAAATATGAAAAACTAGGAGTACTTTTTGAAAAAAAAGCCCGTTTTCTCCAACGCTGGTCGGCCGACCAGCGTCGGAAAAATACAGCTTTTCTTGAAAATGTCAGCACACCGGGAGCCACAACTTTACAGGATGCTTTAGACTGCATTCCCTAACAAGCAAGTAAGATATTTCGTGATAATTTGATCATTTCGTTTTTGGATGTTTGCAAATGTTGTGTCTTCCCTTTAATGCCTTCTTTCTCCGAGAGTGATTATGTAAAGCAAAGTACTTGCCAAACAAATAAAAATAGTGTGAAGTCAAGTTTAAAGGGAAAATACAACATTTGCAAACATCAAAAAATGAAACTACCAAATCATTTTGAAATACCTTGCTGGACTGTTGGTGAATGACAGTGTAAAGCATCCTGTAAAATCATGGCACCTGGTATACTGTCATTTTCAAGAAAAGTGGCATTTTTGTAACAATTTCCAACGCTGATCGGCCGATGAGCGTTGGAAAAAACTTGCTTTTTTTCAAATACTGGCCCCAATTGACCATCGCACTTGTTTGCAATCGATTACAAACCTATGAACGGGTACGAGCCAGCTAGACAATTCCCCAATGTATGTAAACTGCTCTGTTTCTTCTTATATGGAGTCAGGGAACCAGACTACAGGAAAATGATTGTTTTTCTTGGTTTTTATAGCATTTTCGAACTTAAAACCTCAAAAAAGTCAGTGTAACTATATTTGCTATATATTTCCAACCCCCCAATTCCATCCATTTCTGAAAATTACAGCCAAAGCAACTGATGTATATTCCCTTTAACGATACCTGATTGGCAAAAAACACAGCCCAGGTGTAACAGGGACACAAAAGAATGTCGCACATTTGCACCCCAAACTTTACAATGGAATGACCCTGTTCCCCTCTTGTTCCTATCGTTTGCAGTAAAATGCTTTCTCACCGTGTCTCACTAGGTTTGTACACGAAAACCTTCTGAGGACTTTGGCTTAGGTCCTCTGGGGTTATTTGCATTACAGGTAACCTATTAGTCCAAAGTCCTCAGACATCAATGTAACCAGGTACACACAAAATTGTGTAATTCAAGACAGGATTTAGAAGCCTGATGACAATACATGATTAATTGTGGCTACCGCACACCCATTCTTCAACGGAAGTGTTGTCCCATGGTATTATGGGGACCAAAGACGCTATGGGGACAGCAGAATGTCCCCATAACTCCATCCTTATTTCCCTAACAATAAAACAGTTCCCCATAAGGCCCAAAAAAAAAAAGTCTCCGGTTTCTGGTATGGAGCTTGCCCAAAAAGTGGTGCGGCGACGCGTTTTTTTTTTTTTTTTTTTACCTGATTTTTTTTGCTTCAAATGTCGGCTGATGACTGCAAATGGTGCCCGACTAAACTTAGTGCAAATATTATGGGAGTCCAGAGAGGCCACATAAAGCTTATTCTCGACCATAACCCAATCTAAAAACACGTTAAAATTGTGCAGCAGCAGGATTCCAGTCAAACCAGTGAGTTTGGTGGTTTTGAGACATCATCTTTCATTGAAAAAAAACCTTTTTCATTTTGCCGACGCGCATGGCTACGGCGATGCGTGCGCATACCAGAAACCAGAGACTTTTTTTTTTGGCCTAATGCGGTGACAGCCCGCCCACATATATACACACCCCACATACTTTACACTCCTATCATAGCACACAAACTCACATGTGAGGACCGTTCTCAACTCAAGACCTCCATTCGAGGACAACAACGCATCTGTTGTTCTCTCTTTTTCTTAATTGATGTTCTCCAACTGTATTTAATACATGTACACACAATTATGTCATTCGGTAGAACAGTTCAGCCTATTTTAACCTGTGAACCTATTGAACACTGCATCAGAGTATCGGGCTTTCATCATCTCTCTCATATTCATCTAGGTCTTGAAGATCTTCCTGTAGATGGCCTGTCAGCTCGCTGAAGATGGTATCCAGAGCCTGCAGGGTAATCATCAAGACATTTTATTTCAATTCCTCTTTTCAATTTAACCCTAACCGCCCTGAATCCTTCAAAATCCTCTTTGCCAAAGTGCAGGAATTTGGAGGATTGAGGTTACATGGCAAACGTGCATTACTGATTCCGTAGGATGCACTTTGTCAAGGTCTTTGTGTTGTTTTTGCTCAGCCATGCATAAATGTAGGCCTGGATTATGCTTGAAATCCTCCGTACTGCTCCAGGATGTCACTGGCCAAGCCTCAACATATTGGCAGTCACTGCCGCAGGATTTTGCAGGATTCAGGCAGTGGTCACCCCTCCACGGACCATATTCAAGAAATAATGGAGGAATTTGCAGGATTGAGACCGTTATTTTTCCATGAGGCCAATTGGAGAATTTTGCAGGAATGAGGCTACATCCTAGCAAAAAGGCCTAGGGAGTTAGGGTTAAGTGACATTTACTGCCATCCAAAGTAAAATAAAAGCATCATGCGAACAAAAAGTAATTATAATAAGACGGAGGCATGATTTGTAAAAAGCCGAAGCTTGTAGGGGAATGCCCTTACAAAAAAAACAAACCGATTTCGAAGAATATATTTAAAAAAAACCAGACAAGCGATAGACAAGCACAAATGGAATACAGACAATAAACAAGGATTGACTGACGAACATACAGACCACAGGGGTCAAAGAAGATTTACATCATAATAAGACTAAATAAATACTAGGAGGAAATAGGGAGCAAAATAGCCGATCTGGACGGAGAAAGATAAAGATACTATGCTTAATATAATGGAACACAAGATGGTTCTTGAAACTGAGTTCATAGACAGATCAGTCCATTCCACAAATGATAAGAAATGATTCAACAGTTTGGGAGAGATTTGGGGGGGGGGGAGACTGGCTCTGGATGGAACGTTACTGGGTCATGAGTCACCCTATTAGTACCAAAACTGGTCAAAAATGACGTTTCAGGCGCTTCAGAATGATTAAAAATAATTAGAAATGAACACAAAAAACAAACTGTTGAAGACGCTGTCAACAAATTCTGAAGTGAGAATAATGAAAGGAAGTACTCACCACATCGGTGACAACCTTCTCGTGAAGTCGTTTCAGGGGAATGCATTCCTCAGTAGCCCGCCGATTGTGTACAATGCCGATATATTGGCCAAGTAGAATCTCCAACAACCAGTCTGGGAGGGAAAAAAGTATAACGGGCTTGATGTGAATGTGGGAGTGAATGGTGGATCTGTGATATTGGGCGATCTTTGCACTTTCACCAGATTGTGCTGCATCTATCGATCGGCCAATCTTGCCGCCACAACGATCATGCTGCCATCAGTTTGTTGGAAACATATGAAAAAAATTGATGCGTACTGAAAAAAAGTCACGTTTAAAAAAAAAACTCTAGTATTTGGCTGAAAAGTCTCCTTTCCTAAATGACAGTGTATAGCAGTGGCATAACTACAAGGGTCGGGGGGCACGTTACCCCAAGCCTGTGTCTCCCTCCAACCCCCCCCCCCCCCCACAATTTAAAATTGCCTTCAGTGCCCCCTTGACAAACTTTATGCACACCCATGAGTAACCCCCCCCCCCCTCCAAGTTTAACACTAGTCATGCCAGTAGTGCACAGGGTGTATCTGTGCACTTTGTCTACCTTACGAGCCAGTTCAGTTCTTCTTCTCCACACTTACCATCCAGAAACCTATCTACAAATTCCACATGGCTCCATTTCTTCACGTTCGTTACCACCGCCGACAGCAAATGATCTAGAAGAGCAGCGTCTAATAAGGAACTTTCAGCTACTCTAGCAACCTTCGGCCAATTGAAAAAAAAAAAAAAAATTTCAAAAATAGACTGCTTACCAAATACAAAATGCCATAAAGACATTGAAAATTACTTGGTATAAAACATTATATGATCGTAAGACATAGAACTAGCTTCCACCTCTTGTATGTCCATCTGTTTTTCGAGACTGTCGAGGGGCATGTTTCCCCTCACCAGAGCCTCCTGCAGGAACCTGCCCACACAGGACTGCGTCTCCACGTCGATGAGATCCTCAACGACTGTCTCCATGGCAACCTCCACTTGGCACTCTTTCAACTAGCGAGACAAAATCAAATATGTCAAACAGGAGCAAAAAACAAACATTGTTTATGTTAATGGGGCAATCAGAACTTAATGTTTGTGTAGACCAGAAACATGAAAAAGACTTCCAGTGAAAAGCAATTATGAGTCAAATGAATATATCTTTTTGCACTCTGGGACTAGCTATTCCCTTGCATTTGTATAAAACAATGCCACCAAAAAGTTGAATAAATATAAGGAGCTGCTCAGTTGATAAAATGAGAGACCGTTCCTTGTGTTTCTTTTAAAGGTACTGTCCATCATTTGTAATTTGTGCATTTTGTTTGTTTGAAGCAACAAAAGTTCTCAAAATCTAAAGAAGGGTACTGAACAGCTAACCTGATGAAGTTTCAGCTCAGTTTCAGCTGCATATTTTGAGTAAAACAACATTGTAGGATCTCGATTTCAAATCAAAAGTTGCTGAATCATGTTTTGAATTGGGCCTGAATTCAGCGTCCGAGACATGTTCTCACTGAGCCGATTGCAGCTACACGATGTCGCGCACTGATCTGACGAATTATAGCAACCGCACGCGCATGTGCGTTGTGTAAACGCTTGCCCGCGTTTCGCCGATTAAAAAAATGAACCACTAAAGACGCATCGTTGGAAAGGCGTTCTTTCGTTCATTTCTTCAAAATGACAGCATGCCATACAGAATAATTGAACAGGGAGTTTAGTTCCCTAACTATCTTTCACCCAAGTATGTTTTTCAACAACAATTACGTCAGTTACTTTTTGGGTAGCTGCAAATGATGGTCTGTAGCTTTAATGCAGCCACAGTGAGGTGCAGTTGCTCCTCGTATCTCACCAAATCTGGCAGCATTTCCACCAGCACTTCGGTCATCATCGTCCCACTGGTGTCGGCCACGACTTTGGTGTTGAAGTAATCCTGCAAGAGTTCGCTGACCCCGTCGGATACAACGCCGCGGGACTCCTCGCGAATCACCTCCATCACGAGACTGGCGGCCACCGGTCTGTGAATGTCCGGCCGGTCCAAGGCCTCTTCCCAAAAACTGCACAGACAGACATAAAAGCAGGTTACCTCATTAGCACATGCATTTGCATTACAATGTATTTATTCTCTGATTAACTAACCCCCTAGGGCCTTTTTGCTAGGAACCATCTTCAATCCTCCAAAATTCTCCAAAAATGTCCACTTATGTTCAATCCTTCAGAATCGTCTGACAGTCCTGCATGCCATTACGTGAAACTCCCATTTGCCAAAACCCCTGAACTGTACCTACCGATTTCACTGTGACTCTTATCAGCTGTTATCAGTAAAGTAATTATAAGATAAACACTTACCCTGGCACCCACTTCCCCAGGGCCAGTGACCATGAGCTGGTGGTGTCAAATAACGGAAACCTTGAAGAGCATGGCTGAAGTCGGACTGTTTCTTATTTGATATCTCTTGAGATATATTTGATCGATTTTTATGATTCAAAGTTGCTCACATAATAACTTTTAACACTTTTCCAAATACTTTACATTATAAACAAGAACCTAGTAGACTTTGGTAGATATTTTTTGTCAGTAAGCTCACAGGCAGAGGCACCATACACCACCTGTTCACGGCTCGTTAACTCTTGATCAAATAAGAGAGATCGCGTTGAAAGCTGCTGAATCTGAAATCGGTAGGTAGGACCCGAGTTTGTCATAGGCAAACTCGGGTCTAGCTCAAATGGGAGATTCACGTAATGGCCTCTCAAAATGCATTCATCCTCAATCCTCCAAAATCCTCCTCCTCCTCAAACACCATTCATCCTCAATCCCCCAAAATCCTCATGTACTAAAAACCATTCATCCTCAATCCTCTTAAATCCTCCAAAACCGCCATGCGGATTTTGGAGGATTGAGGAAGGTTAGGGTTATTCCATGAAACCATAGAGTGCCCAGACACATTAGAGACACACTCGCGGAAAAAATGGTCCGGATAACATTGTTAACTTATTTCTTATGATGGGACTGCGGTTTGGCCGAAGTCAATTGAGCGTGATCGGCTGACTGATAAGGGTTACGTACAAAACCCCGAGCCAACGAGGTTTTTGTATAGAAAGCTAGCTGCCGGACCACATTTTGCGAGAGTGTGTCCGTAATGAATTTGGGCATTACAAGGACTAATGTGTTAAGGTGGTACTATTATGATTTGAAGTAAAACTCGTACTGATACCCAGGCACCCGATACAAGGTACCCATTACCCAGGTACCTGATACCCAGGTACCCAATACCCAGGTACCCATTACCCAGGTACCCGATACCCAGGTACCCAATACCAGGTACTGATACCCAGGTACCTCGATAGCCAATACCCAGGTACCCAATACCAGGTACTGATACCCAAGTACCTGATACTCAGGTAACCGTTACCCAGGTACCCTATACCCAGGTACCCTATACCCAGGTAACCGATACGAAGTTACCCCAAACCCAGGTACCTGATACCCAGGTACATGTAATTACCGGTACCAAGGTACCTTTGCATGCTCACCGGGCAACGTAAGCAATGCGTTCTAATGTCACTTCAAGTGATTTCCCCCAACAAAGTCAGGTTCCCGGCAGTAAATGTGTAGTTGGGATACTGAAGAAATCTTTGCATCACTCTGGGGAATCTTGCGCAAGAGAAAACTTGATTTAAGACACTACACGAATGGAGCAGGAATCTCAGATATTTCTATTCAAGTTTACATTGAATAATGTTGGGTAATTTCTCCTTAACTTTTCTGGAATAATTTTCACATGGGTCCTTAGACTAGAGTTACCAACGGATACTCCTCACAAGGATAAATGACATCCCCAAATTTCTGGTTAGATGCGTGATACGGCACGATGCGCAACATCGTGCTTGCTCGTGCGCGCGCATGAGACGCGGCGCGCAACTGCAGTCTTTCAGGGGTCACATTTCTGTCAGCCCGCCAGCTGTCGGCAATCATGGCACGCGCCCACTGTTCTACACATTCTATGCGTTGTTCTTTGCACGGACGCAGCATATCACGCATGTAGACAATCTGTTCTGTGCATTTTGTACACAAGCTCAGATGAGTCGTTTATCCTTGTGAAGATGATCCGTGAGTTACCAACCTTGAGTCGTAAGACGGGCTGTAAGCGTCAGTCAACCTGTTGACACCTGAGCGCCTGGTTTCTGTATGCTGCTTAAATGAAAAAAAAAGCTAATGCTGAAATTAACATAATAATACACCAAATTAGCTTACATTTGTGGTTTGTTTGAAACCTTTTTTTTTTTTTTTTTTTTAACCATAAACATATCATAGGCTACCCCATCATTTCTAATGAGTCATCATCATTTCTAATGGGGAATCAGGTTGGCGTAGTGGTCCTTTCCTCGCCTTCCACCGCCGTGACCCGGGTTCGAATCCTGCCCGGGCCAATATGTTGATTGGGTTTTCAGTCCCTACCTGATTCCGTGGGTTTTCCCCAGAATATCCTTCTGGGGTTTTCCTCCCACCTCTAAAACTGTAACTTCTTCACATTGTCTCCTCTCTACAGGTTTCTTCAGGCTTGTGAGCTACAGTGCCTAGGGCGCTCTTGAGGATTCCTTGGTTTCATAACCAGAAATAAAATAATAATAATAATAATAGTAATAGTAATAACTACAGCATCATCCCAACTCTAGTTGGGACAATCCCAATTATCATTAGGCTTGTCCCAATTAAAGTTTGGACCGTCCCAGCTACATGTATAGTTGGTACCACTGTTAGAGTTGGGGCGAAACAATATTCTGAACTCTCTTATTGTTGCCCTTGAGTCCCCAGAGTGATACTGTTACGCCCCAACCATATTTAGGACAATCCCTACTTCATCTATGGATCATCCCAACTTCAGTTGAAACTCTCCAACTACAGTTGGAGTGTATAATGGCCTAGTGGTCAAGACCACCGGACTCATGCTCTGGTGTTTCAGAGGCAACAGTGGCGTGGGTTTGAGCCCGGGCCCGGACACTTGTGCCCTTAAGCAAGGCACTTAACCATTATTGCTTCGTCCTTCGGATGGGACTTAAAGCCGTAGGTCCCGTGTGTTGTATAAGGCCTAGCGCACGTAAAAGAACCCAGTAAACACTTATCGCTAAGAGAAGGGGTTTGCCCCGGTGTTTCTGACCTCATAGTTATACGCCCTTGTGGAAGTCCTTAGGAGAAGAACCAACCAAGTACCAAGTACAGTTGGGACCACTGCTATAGGTGGGGTGTGACAATACTCTGAACTCTCTTCTTGTTGCCGTTGAGTCCACAGCGTGATACTGTTATGCTCCAACTAAAGCACTGCCCAACTGTATAGTTGGCCGGCCAATCCCGACTATACAGGGTGGATAAAAATAACGAAACCGAGATATTATTGCTAATTGGAACAGAATTAGGGCACATGTGAATCAAAGGGAGATATCCTCTGTTAGGGTTGGATCTCCTCTTTAAAATGACACCCTGATCATGTCCTTACATTCACGGCTGACTGAGCAGTGACCAATTTTATGAAAGGGTCTTTTTAGAGACTTGCGCCACTTTTCATGGTGAAATCTCTTGTTCCCCCACCTGCCTTGATTGGCAACCATAGCCTTTCACTCTGTGACAATTGACACAAAAAACCCACTATTGAAAAGTGGCGCACGTCTCTAAAATAGACCCTTTCATAAAATTGGTTACTGCTCAGTCAACCGTGAATGTAATGACATGACCAGGGTGTCATTTTAAAGAGGAGATTCAACCCTAACAGAAGATACATCCCTTTGGTTCACATGTGCCCTACTTCTGTTCCAATTGGCAATAATATCTCGTTTTTGTTTTTTCTATCCACCTGTAGAAAGGATTGTCCCAAGTTCAGTTGGACTTCCCCAACTATAGTTGGGACTGTCCTGACTGTAGCTGGGCCCATTGCCGTAGTTGGGTCTTAACTCTGTACCTGTTGCTTGAGTGATCGTTCCTCCACCAGGACCTCGCAGGCGACATCCAGGATCAGGTCATTCTGCAAGGCGTCCTTCAAGAAGTGATGCATGAAGCTCAGGGCAAAGCTGGGGTTCTGAAGATGCTGCAACAGCTCCAGGTTCTACAGCCAAAGCAAATACATTCAAAGTAAAAAAATGGATTCTATGTTTTCTTTTACATTATCAATTCTTCATTTGTTCCCATTCAAATCAACGTAAAAGTGACGCCGGAAGGAAAAATGGTCTGGTTCCTTTTTACACAAACATTATCATTCATTACTGTTGTCCTATGCAGGGAACATGACTGAAATGGTGGCAGCATGATAAAGGTCTATTGGTGTCATTATTCACCCACCTTTCTTGCTCGGTAGCCCCTGTAATGCCGCTGCACAACGGTCGCCGAGTCGTCTTCCAATTGAGCTTCTTCATTTGGGTCTCTCCAGACGTGCCGGCTGTGGAAACCCCCCACCCTGGGGTCCCTCCCCCTCACTTCCCTCCTCGGTCTGTGCCCAATGTGTCTCTGCTGGTGCCTTGCCGGCAGGCGGGAGGCATGTCCCACCGAGTCCACGAAAGGCCTCCGCTCCCCTCTGACTCTAGTGGAAGAGTTCCAGGGGTCGCGCTGAGCCGGTGGCTTGGCATGGTGACCCCTGGCTGTGCCAATGTAAGGATAGGGGTGACTCACACCCTGGGGTGATGAGGAGTAGAAGGGTCGGTCATCAAAGTCCTCGCTCTGTCCAAAGTCTGAGTTGTAGCTTTGTACACTGAAGGCATCATCGTTGTAAAATCTGGAGGAATAAAATAATCAAGAAAGAATGGCAGGTCAGGACTTAATAATTAAAGGGACACTAGGTCCTGGAACAGCCCAATTGGAGCTACAAAACGCGCTTTGAACGAGTTGATGTTAATCAAAATAACATTTAAAAGTAGGATATAAACATCCACACAACTATCCTTTCAAAACTGGGCGTTTTTGTGTTATGCGTGCGAGAACGAATTTCGGGGTCCACTTTTGCGACCCCATAAATTCGAGCTGTTTGGATGCTAGTTGTGATTTCATTCGTATCGTGTTTGCCTTTTGCGGACGTTTCAACCAGATGTTTGAAATAGGCTAAGTAAACAATCCAAAACATAAAATTTTCGGGGATTTCAGGACCTAGTGCACCTTTAAGGCTTGCAAAATTAAGTTCATATCTGTCATTTTCAGCTTCCCACGGAGGTCGAGCAAAAGAAACAATTATGCTAATAAGGTCCATGGCAGCTCCCTTTTTGGAAGCCACCGACCGGTTCCTCATCTGAATACCGAAATCTGAATAAAGTCTATTGTGGTCATTATATGATCACAACAAATAAGATCGAGTATGGATGGAAATTTCACACCGGCCCAGATTTGCATGAGGGTTGCACAATTAAAAAAATATCATGGGACTTTATAAATTTATTCAAATCGGCAGATCGACCAATCGCACCCAACATATTGGTTCTTGGTTCTTGGTTGGTTCTTCTCCTAAATACTCCACGTGGGAGTTTATACAGGAGGCCAGAAACACCAGGGCAAACCCCTTCTCTTAACGATAAGTGATTACTGGGTTCGTTTACGTGCATTATATACAACACACGGGACCTACGGCTTTACGTCCCATCTGATGAAGGACGAAGCAATAATGGTTAAGTGCCTTGCTTAAGAGTACAAGTGTCGGCCGGCGGGTTCGAACCCACGTAACTGTTGCCTCTGAAACACCAGAACTGAGTCCGGTGTTCTTGACCGCTAGGCCATGACACTCCATGACATATGCACTGCATCCTTCGCACAGTCCCTGTTGTAAATAGGGTCTATGAAATACACTACCTGTCATTGGCTACAGGGGGTATGACTGGGTAGTGACTCCCACGCAAGGGAGCATCAGAGGGCGAATCAACAATCCTGCAGTCAAACGAATGAGAACAATTTACAAAGTAAAGCAGCATGTCTTTAAAGGGAATATACAACATTTGCAAACATCAACAAATAAAACTACCACGTTTTACGAAATACCTTACTAGGATGTTGGTTAATGACAGTCTAAAGCATCCTGTAAAATTATGGGACCTGGTGTGAAGTCATTTTCAAGAAAATGGTATTTTTGTATACATTTCCAACGGTGGTCGGCCGACCACCGTTGAAAAAACCTAACTATTTTTCAACTACTGCTCCAAGTTTACCATTTTTTCCAGTCAAAATTTTGTTTGCTATTGGTTACATGTTCATGAACGGGTGAAAGCCAGCTAGACTGGTTCCTTTACCTTACAATTTTCCGGCATCTATAAATTGATCCATTTCATCTTTAATGGAGTCAGGGAACCAGACTACTTGAACATTTTCTTTTTTCTTGGCTTTTCCAGCATTTCCGAACACAAAACTATAAAAATGTCAGTGTAACAATATTTGGTATATTATACAAACCCCCCAAATATTGTTCATTTTTGAAAATTGCAGCAAAAGCCAATGATATACATTCCCTTTAAAATGCAATGACAATGTTGTAATCAAGTGATACTGCAACAAATTAACTGGAGAGATCTGGCTCCAATTTCATGGTTCTGCTAACCACGGAATTCCATGCTTATGATCACCATTCTTTGCTAACGGCGCTAGCAGAAAATTTTTGTGCTAACCATGTAAGCACTGATTAGATACGAGATATAGATACGGGATATGCACGCATGCACATAAGCCAAAATTCCATGCTAATCCATGAAATCCGCTTGTACGGTAAGCACGGAATAGGTTTCTGCTACAGTAAATCAGAGATTTTACGCTAACGGTAATTAGTTGGGCCCAGTGATGGAGGAATGTTCCATTCTACTAGGCTTTGCCTCGAGGAATGGAACATTCATCTGTCACCTCTTGAAATTATTTTTGGAAAGATTTCCATACACGAAGTTCACTCAACACCCTGTGTACAAACCCTATGAGATTGGACTGAAAAATTCTAGTGTTTTCTAAGAAAATGCTTGTATTTTCTCACTGCTCAAATTGACTTTGATGATATGAAATTGCTATCTGGGGGGTTGTTAGTCAATACAGAGGAAAATTAGTGAACTTTGTATGTGGAAATCTTTCCTTATTCTTACCATTGTACTCACAAACACTCATTATTTGTGATGCGATCAAGCTAAATGAGTCGTTTGTCAACCCTGGTCATTTTTGTTACAGATTTGAAAAGAGCACAGTCTCAGCATTACTGCTGCAAAAACCGCATGCTGATATCATCTTTAAGACTTTAGTTAAAAAATTATGGAAGTCGGAACACCAAGAGATGTGATGAAGTGGCCCTATTTTGGCCTGAATCTCCAAATGAAAGTTCCTGACAAATGACTCATTAGCTAGATCGCATCACACTTAGAAATATTGGTAATACGGCAATTTTGACTATTCTGGAAAATTTGCACCCATATGAAAAATAATTGCCGGCTAAATCTGAAGGTTTCCTAGCATTCTATGAGAAGCATTAACACTAGGAACATCCTAGCTACATTTAAGGCCAAGTAAAAAAAAATAAATAGTTTCTCGCCGGGGGTTTTTGAAAAAAGGGAGGAGGCGGGGCTTTTTATTTTAAATTTTTTTCAAGATGACCGCCTTTTCAAAATTTCCTGCAACCGTTGGTGTTCCGCTGCTGACACTTTTAAAGATGAAAGACAAGTAGGACAAGAGAACTGAACATATTTAGGCCCTACAGTGTCATTTAGAGTTGTATTGGTATTGGTATTTATTTTCCGATGAATTTGTAGACTTTTTCAGTATTTTTCTACTACATTTTAAAAAAAATAAAAAATAATAAAAAAATCCAGGCGGCCTCCAAAAAGGAAGCGGGCGGGGACGAGAAACTTGTTTTTTTTACTTCGTCTAAAAAAGGTCTTCAGAAAACTAAGAGAAGGAGATCCAGAGCTCTGAGTGTATTTATGGGTCTTATTTCACCTTGGTAATGGCACTGATGGAGCCTTCTTGTATCTGTTGTACTTCGCTCCTTGTGGGTCGCGATTGAGGCCGTGGGTCTGGCGTTTCCTTTGCAAACTGCACAAAAATACACACAACACACCGACTGATTGGATAATGAAGTTTGACAAAATTATTTGCAGAGAACTTGGGATACTAGTTCATGAATGCATGAGCACACGATCTTGCAGATTTATCGATTCTCAATTTTTCAATTTTCATCTGGGAACCCTGACTCTCAACTGTAAATCAAGGATTTTCTATTGTTCCTTTCTCCTTTTCATTTGTTTATAGATCCAGATTCATGTCTTTTCAACAATTTTGAAATAAATGACGTTCATTGAGATTATAGGCCTATAATAATGAAAAAGGTGGCGTAAGGATACAACGGTACAACATTCTTTCCGTTTCTTATGTCGTTCCCATGACAACCACACGCTCACAAACGAAATGGCGGACTTACTTCTCCTGCAGCTGCGCCCACGTTCGTTCTTGCGGAGACAGAGCCATCACAAACCACCTGATGACCACCGTCGAATTTCACATCTTTCAGAAAAATAATGTGAAATCTTTTCTTCCGTAGAGCTTCTGTTTTATATCATTATGCTGTTGCCGTGACCGATCTATTTCTGCGTTTTTGATAAATTAATTACACGGGAATTTTTTTTTTACTCAGCATAAAATATTTATCATTCATTGTTATTGTATTGTCAACAAAATTCAGCTAATAACAATAGCGCCCTCCAGCGATCACTGTAAACAAATCGATCCGCGTGGTGTTTGCACAACGGAGCAATGGGAGCGGAGATTTATTTTATTGATCGTGGGTCGATTTTCTGTCGTCGGGTATATATACGTCGGGAGGGAAGTTATCGACTTTGTAGTCATTTCAAATCCGAAGTTTCCGGATTGAAATCCTGATACATGATAAGGAAAAACTGTTGCAACCTGACGCCACTTTTTTCTTCATAATCATCTCAATGAAGGTCAGTCATTGCAAAAAAATATAGTGATAATTAAGACATGAATCTGGGACTGAGAAACATTTCCAATTTCGTTAGGAAATAAGTTAGAAATTTTCTCTTTAGACCTGGCACAAGCGTCAGGTTGCAGTTTCCAATGATAAGACTGTGACTTTGTAAAGCATTGGCATACGGATTTTTTTTTTTGTTCTCAAAATGAAATAAATTAAACATAACAGATAATTACAAAAATATTACTGGTCCTGGATCGTAGCCTCAGCTAGGGTGGCGGCCCACTAAACTATTAAGGTAGAACGCAAACTGTATTAATATAAACACATTTCAAAGATCTTAGTCGCAGAAAAAAAAGAAGAAGAAAAATCCACGTGATATTTTACATTTTGCGGAGAACCCCCCCCCCCCCCCAAAAAAAGGTTGAAAAGACCCTGTCGGTTTATTTTGAAGCCCGACGCAGCAACGACTGCAAATGCAAATTTCCAATTTGAGCAAAAGTTTCAGGCAAAAACCTCCATGTTACAGCTATTTCAGCACCAACAGTTGCCAGAATTTTGCATATTTCGCTGTTGCAAATGTTCTTTTCCCTGGTGATTCTTTGTTAATTGTCTCAGTACATGACAGTAAGCCAATATGAACACACTTTTTGGGGAGTTTCAATATAAGCACAAGTTTAGGTTCACATGCAGTTTGAACAGAAAACCTCCGTAAGATGAGCAGTTTTTTTTTCTGAAATGACATCACAGCAACAGCGCCCTCATAACTTATTCAGGAAAAGCATGGAAAATTATATATGTTGAAAGAAGTGAACTTTTCAATAAAATTAACCAAAAACTTTAATGTCAAATATTTTCCATACATTTATGAGGAGTTAAAAGTTGTAAACCAGATCGAGCTAAGAACAACATGCTGGAGTATAGACATTGTGTCCGGTGTCTCCCTAAGGTCAAAAAAAAAGAAAGAAAGAAAACAGTCTCCGGTTTCTGGTATGCGCGCGCGTCGCCGTAGCCATGCGCGTCGGCAAAATTAAAAAGGTTTTTTTTTTCAACGTAAACATGATGTCTCAAAACCGCCACACTCACTGGTTTGACTGGAATCCTGCTGCTGCACAATTTTAACATATTTTTAGATGGGGTTACGATCGAGTATAAGCTTTATGTGGCCTCTATGGACTCCCATATATTTGCACTAAATTTAGTCGGGCACCATTTGCAGTCATCAGCCGACATTTCAAGAAAAAGAATGGTAAAAAAAAAGCCGCGTCGCCGCACCACTTTTGGGGCAAGCTCCATACCAGAAACCGAAGACTTTTTTTGGCATCATACTACTCACGAAAAATAAGGCTCCTGAAGGGTACTGTATAAAACAAGCATTCCACTTTTAATATATACATTTCCCTGCCATGCATAAGTAACGGAGCCCGTAAATATGGCCGTTATGCATAAAACTGCATACCTGGCATAAAAGATAAGCAATTCACGAATTATTTATAATGCAAATTTAGCATCATGCCATAAATTTTGTTGTCTTAATATCATACGAAAATACGAGAACATGCAAGGAAGAACCATTTCTTTGAGGATGTGCCATAGTTTTAGCAAAGAGAGAGTGATATAGAATGAATCCCAGGATGACCCCGGACCGCAGGTCGCTTGTTAAAATTCTACTCTATGCAGTCATCAATATGAATAACCAATAACAATTTACCAGACTTGTGTGACTCGAGTCCCATTTTCCGTAACTCGGACTCGAGTCACGATGACAAAACTCGGATGTGACCGGCCCTGCGGACACGGACTTGGACTCGGACTCGACCTGCGTGACTCGTCAAAAAATTACCACAAATCCCTTTTTTCCCCAACAATATGATTACAAATTACTTTGAAGATGACCCTCTCCTGATTAGCAAGCGATACAGTCTGTGCGGTGCAGAAGAAATGCATCTAAGTACTATACATTATACAGCGCGTGCGGCGAACTTGTTTCTGATATATTGATTTGCGATTATGTACGGGAATATTCGAATATATACCACAGCGTCCAGTTTTGATATTTCGTAATTGAATGAAGCTTGACAGTGTTCGGTACCAAATTGTCCTTTCCATGCACTGGTATCTGGCACATGTAATACATGTTGCTGCAGTTATTAGAGAAAAGCTGTGAAAAATTGAAACATTTTACACTGTGAGGTTTCAGTAGTACCTCAAAATTCATTTGCAATATTTATAAAAAGGAGGCTCGTAACTCGGACTCAGACTCGACCTTTGTGACTGGTGACTCGGACTCGACCTTTGTGACTCGTGACTCGGACTCGAACTCGACCTTTGTGACTCGTGACTCGGACTCGGTGACTCGTGACTCGGACTCGAACTCGACCTTTGTGACTCGGGACACGGAGGCTCGGACTCGTGAGAGGTGACTCGGACTCGGACTCGATGTTTGGTGACTCGAATACAACTCTGCGATTGACCCTCCCTATGTAACCAGTTTGATTTACAGTTTCTACCTTCTATTGTCAATTTATAGAATGGCATGTCTTTGATGACGACGGTTACCGAATGTTTGTAAGGTGGCTTTGATGGGACATCGCTAATCGAGAATATTTACGTCAATATTCAGTTCAATTCAATTCAATTCAATTCATATGGACATTTATTTCCATATATACAGCTAATACATAATATATATTGATTGATTATAGTAGCACAAAAATACACTCCGAGATGAGGAATTAAATAAGAGACCGAAACAAAGTAGAGTGATGCTGATATGGAGGCATTTTCAGGAGATCAAGAGGCTTTACGGAAGCAAATCACGACGTGCCCCAAATCGCAAATATTGACGTCAATATTCTCGTCAGATGTTTTACATGGTAATCGGGGGCGCTTAGCTTCAAGTGGGAAAAATTTGTGAATAAAACATGCGACCCAGAGCAACTCGTGAAATTGTTGTCGCGAATAATTGTCAATATTTGCGACCAGCCAGAGATGTTTTGACGAGAATATTGTTGTCAGTATTCACGATTTGGGTACGTCGTGATTTTTTTTGTCGCGAACAAGTTTTGGCGTTAACATTCACGATGTCCCTTCAGAGCCACCATGAGTTCAACACAATTATCAACGTTTCGTTATGCACGTATCTCCACCACGAATGAGCAACCTTCAGTCTGTTCATTAAAATAACCGTTATGCATAAAACTGCATCTGGCCGGTATAAATCAGAATTTTATGAGCGTTATAATTATATTCTTTAATGCAAATATCGCATCATACCACATTGTCAATGTCAACCAGGAATAAGCAAGGACCAACCACTTCTTTGTGGGTGCGCCAATATTTTAGCAAACAAATATTGTTTCTATTAGAATTACTCCTGGTAATCACGGACCGCAGATCGCATGCTTCTTTTGTAAACCTGTACAATAAGAATTAAAATAATCATTTATAATACGAATTGTACAATATTTGTTGTATAATAAGAATGTACCCTCTCATTTCCCACTTTGGTTCGCCCTTTTTTCTGCCATCTTGTATCTATACATCTTTTATGACGATGTTGAGAGCACTGCACTTTTTTATGATTCCACACAGAGAAATGATTAACATAACTATAGAACCAAACTCCATGTTTCTCTCCGGGTAAAAGCAAACCACTTGAGTTATTTGAAGTAAGTACACACAACAAACGTTGTCGTAGCTACCTGCATAGTGGCCAGGAACACACCGACGCCCAAATCACCTGGGAGCTCTTTGAAATAATTGAAAGGTTTGTTTTAAAAGTTTTAAAAGAAAGTGTTTCAGCTAAAACCCAACCCAAAGCTCTGTTTTAGAAATGTTCGTTACAAAATTCATAAACTGTGGATGAGCTAACCAAATCGATTAATGTTTTTTCCCTTCACTGTAGGCCAAGATACTGAAAGACAGACCGGAACGGTTCCAGCCTCCACACCAGTTTTTCACAGGTGAGCTTTTAATGCTGTTATCACAATACCAGACTCTAACAAAGACAAATACACTCAATAACAAATACGCCATAGACTTGAAATAGCAAGAACTTGTCAGGTATAGGTTTTCTCGGCTGTTTTAAAACGTTTTTCATTCAATTTCACCTCTTATTCCAATCAGCGGCATAGCCTGGCTTCTCATCCTAGGGGGGCGTGTGGGAGGGAACTTGAGGTTACAATGGAGGGGCGCCCAAACGAAAAAAAAATAGACAGGTTTTTTTTTTGTACCGGACACCCGCCCTCCGTAAAATGAAATGGGGGGGGGGGGGGATGGGGGGGGGGGGGGGCGGCTGGACACCATCTTACCATGGGTTCGCTGTTCAAAACGTATATCATGGCTTCATTTGGCAATAACTACCGCTATTCGCTTTCCAAGGGACGTTACAATAAACAACCACTCGCGAAGAAAAAAGAGTTTTGGTGAAAAATACGCACCAAATCGCAGAAAAAAGGGACTTCATGTACTTCCAGCTAATAATGGTAACTCATATGGCTGTGCATTTCTCCGGATGCCACATTTTCAGTGGGGGGGGGGGGGGGGGGGAGGGGGGGGCACTGGGGGGGGGGGCAACTCTCTGTGGGGACGTGCGCCCCCCCCCCCCAACGGCCCCCGTAGCTATGCCGCTGATTCCAATTCGTCCGAGAAGAATTTCAGACGATTTTAGCGAAATTAACGTAGTCATTATTTTATCATTCGGTTTCAAAGTTTGTTCGACCTATTTAAATACTTGGTCAAGAATATTCGTCAATACGGATTGAATTCGTCTACTGCCGTTGCCGAATGAAAGCATTCAGAGATCGAATTCGTCTGATATCTATCAATTTAACACACTTGTGTTAAGTGAATTAATTTGGCGTGTGCTCATAAGCATTTTCATGCTGTCTTGAAGCACAATTCGGCACATTCGTTCGCATGATGTTATCAGACCAAGTAGGCCTACGTGTACTGAACCAGTCCGAAAGAACAGTTTTCCCAGAGAACGTTACCAAGAACAGCAACAAAATAAGAAGGACATGTAAAAAGTACAATTACCTAAAATTCCCCTGAAAAAATGAAAAGAAACAAACAATAAGTTTATGAATAACAAGGAAAGAAAGAGAATAGGTGGAATTTTTTTTTATAAGCGGTCTATATGCTTCTACTGAAGATGTCATTATGAAGTATGACAAAGTTGAAGTAAACTATGAATAAATTGTGTAGAATAAGACAATTTTGTTTTTTTGAGTAGCACAGAATACTCCTGGACGAATACTAATGTGCTCATGGTTTGCATCTGCTTCACCTAATTGTACAGGTTTTCCCGGCTATTTCAAATGATGTTTCATTCAAATTGACCAAGTCTATCATTCAATTTCGTCCACGAAAAATTTCAAACGCTTTAAACAAAACCATCTTAGCCATTTACCATTCAATATAGGTGTAGCCAGCAAGGGGGGGGGGGGGGGGTGCATGTACCCCTCCCCATATTTGGTAAAGACTGCCCCTTTCCATTCAACTGCCTTTTTTCACCAGCGCTTCCCCCCAATATTTGTAAAGAATGCCCTTCTTGTTATCAAGTGCCCTTTTTTCTGAACAAGTGCCCTTTAACACAAAAAAAGACGGTCGTACCCTTTTCTGTGCCATCGGCCGTTACGGGTGCCCTTTGTTGAATTTCGCGCATGTTTCGCCCTGAAAAGCACCATATATAGTCCGTGTGCATAATCGTCAGTTTTGAAAAACGCCCCCAGATGGGGGTACCCCCCCCCCCACATTTGATTTTAAGTGTCCGGGGAAAAAAAATGTCTTCATTGTAGCACGGATATGCTAGTGCCCTTTTCAAGAATTCCCCCAACAAAATTGACCTTGCTACGCCCCTGGTTTTGGTCACCATCTTTAGTCACCGGGTCGAGAGTATTCGTCATTGCATATCAAATTCGTCTAAGCTGTTACCGAATGGCAGCATTCAGAGATCAAATTCGTCTGACATAAATCAATTAGGCAAATTTGATTTCTGAATAACACGATTCGGCATAGACGAGACGAAATCGAATACTCCGGGACGAAAATGTGTGTTCATTGTTTAAATTTACTTGAAAATGAATTTGAAATTGTCTGACAAAAGACGAAATTAAACATTAGGAGTGCACTACATCGATTTTGCTAGACGAATTTGAATATTAGAATCGGTGAATTGAAATGATAAAATGTTTTAAAATAGCCGGGAAAACCTATATCTGCACTAGAAGTTATAAGAGAAAAATAATTTTCCACTTTTTTCTTTCCTTGTTTCTTCAAAAATGAATTGTTTGTTTATTTTGATTTTATAAGTTAGACTCAATTTTGGGAACACTGTTACACGGGGAACTAAAGGTCATTGTAATTTTTGACATTTTTCTCTTTCATTTTCATGTAACTCTTGTTTTATAAATCCGTTTCTACATTCAAACGTCTTAATGTTTTGCTGTTCTTGTAATATTGACACTTTTATTTGATTTGGGTAGCTGCTCTCTGCGTTAAGCACAATTAACTTGGTCTGATAACATCATGCGAACGAATGTGCCGAATTGTGTTCGAGGACACACTATAGGAAAAATGCTTTAGCACACGCCAGACTAATTTACTTAAAGAGGTTGTGAAATACTCGAAGACATTTCCGTCATTTTTCGGGTATATGTAGCCTAAGGTGTGATGAAATAAAAACGACTATTGTGTCCGTCATGAAATGAGTACAAAAGGTACTTTTGAGAGCTGTTTTTCAGGTCCTGTTTCGACCCGAACGTGCAATTTGTGTAAAAGTCGTCGTTCATAGGGGCAGCAAACAAAACATAGTAAATCGTGACGTAATAAACAGGACTCGTTAAATGTCTCGTTTATACTACGCTGCATCGGGAGTCCTGTTTATTACGTCAAGATTAAATATGTTTTGTTTGCTGCCCCCAACGACGACTTTTACACAAATTGCACGTTCGGGTCAAAACAGGACCTGAAAAACAGCTCTCAAAACTACCTTTTGTACTCATTTTATGACAGACACCGGCGCATTTTTTTTTACCTTAGGTCTTCCGATTTTGATAAAAATTGCTGTGCTTGTAGGTCCTGATGAGCAATGAATGCACACCATTTTTTTTCGCCCGATCCGACCTACCATATCCATGTGGACAGGGCAGAAACACAAAAATTGACATTTGTAGATTAAAATACCACCCTTATGGGGCAAATATGTCATAACCATGTCAATTTTCATCAAATATATATGCAAATCTGGTATTAAAATAATGATAATTGGATGCTCAATTCAACTCTGAAAAGTAGGTCACCATGACCTTTAATATAATACTGTGACCTATGACCAGGTTTTTACAAAATTTAAGTTTGACAAAAGAGTTGATTTGAGCATGAAGTTTTCATTATTTTAATACAAAATTTGCATGATGAAAATGTACATGGTTGTGGCACGTTTGTACCAAAATGGTGTTATTTTAATCTAAAAATGTCATTTTTTTTGTGGTTTCTGCCCTGACTACATGGTTGGTCGGATCGGGCAAAAAAATGGTGCGCATTCATTGCTCATCAGGACCTACAAGCACACTAATTTTATCACAATCGGAAGACCTAAGGTAAGAGGTGCGTTAGTCTGCCGTGGAATGACCCATTGACCAATATTTTTGATGGAGTGCTTAAATATGTTGAACAAAGTTTGAGTGCTAAAATGACTAAATTGATTTTGCGAAAAGCATCTGAAATTATTCTTGGACTAATTTGATATAAGAATTGGTGAATTGGAATCGAAGACGTTTTACATAGTCGGGAAAACCTATACATGTATTATCACCATATCAATCATAACTACAACATCTGGCCAACAGTGAAATTTCAGCGAAAAAAATCCATGGGGGGATTCACATGTTTTTTTTTTATTTTGTTTCTTTTTTCGTTGTAGAGTAAAAAGGGAGAAACCTACACTCGGCAATATGACTGACAACTTCATTGAGGTGATGAAGTACGTCATAGGCGGCGTCTCTTTTGTGGCGATAGCCGAGAATCTCCTTGCGATTGCAGTGTTTGCTGGGACCAAAAAGCTCCGCATCAAGTACTACACCTTCGTGGTCAACCTGGCGCTGTCCGACTTTCTCTTCGCCGTCTTAGCCATATTATATCGGTGGTTCCAGTCACCCGTTCTCGATGGTTTTGTTACGGCAGCATACATAGTCTCCATAATGACTATTATGGCCGCTGCTATCAATCGTTATCTGGCCCTGTCCCTTATGCCACCGGCTCGCTACGATTCACTGGTGACAGGGTACCGTCTGATCGGAGTTTGTATCATGTTGTGGGTCTCTAGTCTCCTATATGGCTTATTGATATTTAACGCTTCCCGACCTGAAGTTTTCAACTTTGTACAAGTCCTTGGATTGTCCCTGTCAGTGTTCATATTTTGGTTTATCACTGCAGTTGTGTATTTTCTGGCTTTCCGTAAGATCAAACAGTACGCTCCACCTCTTGCATCCGCAGCAGGCATCAGTGCCAACGAGGAGCGAGATCAAACCCGAGTCAAGCAGACTCGTCGTTTATTGGTCTTGTTTGTTCTCATTCTGGTGGTGTCATTCATTTCTTGGGCTCCCGCGTTCGCGATGAGGGTGATAGTCTTCTTTAATCCATCACTCTGGGCGGATGAAATCTTGAAAACCTTGCTGTACACTCTCTCTACCGCGATCAATCCGTTGTTATACTGGTTTCGATTGGATGGTTTTAGAGAGGGGTTTTACGCAATGTTCTGTCGTTGTGTCACCAAGGCAGAGCCCAGAGAAATCGAGGCTGACCCTACTACATACGACAATACGGTTGCTGAGACTGGCTTGTAGAGGGCTGAGGAGCCAGGCATATACGGTTCACTGACGAACAAAATCTTCTCTTCCATTCTTAGTGGTCCAACGAACACCGTCAATTTATCTTTTTTATATCCATTTCGACAACCTGATCAACGTTTTGAAATCGTTAAAAAAAAATTCCCGGACCATAATTGTAACCGGGTTTTTTCTTAACGGTTTATGGTATAAAACTTGAAAATTTTAACCAACATTAATCCTGATCCTAAGGTGTGCATATTACTCTGACGTCATGGTGATGTCACCAAGTAGCAAATTACAAGCGATCTTAGTTGAAAGAGTGACCGGCTGTATTCACTTGTAACTCTTGATTGGAAATATCAATCATGTTCATACTTTGCCATCAGAGAAATGATTAATCAACAATTGTTTGGGTCGTGTACGTAAAGTCGCTTGACCTTTACCTACGGGCTACCGGAAGTTCAAATATAATGTAGGTGACTTCAGAATATAGATAGTGAGCCTCACATCAAAACAAACCGAAATTTCTTCCAAACGGTTCATAGGATGATGAAAAAACTGTGATGAACTTGAACCCTGGGCCGAATCTGTGGAAAAAACACTGTGACATCATCATGACGTCATCAAGTATCACATTACAGGCAATTTAAGGTCAAAATTTGAAAAAAAATACTTTGAATTATAATTTTTCAAATGAATGGAGTACCGTTCTAATTTTGTGTGATAAGTCACACTTTGTCTAGGGCAATTGTTTGGATCCCCAAGCTCAAAGCCTTTCGACCTTTACTTCCGGTGCTACCGGAAGTCAGTACCATACATGTCGAAAGTGCAATGAGAATTGAATGTTAGTCTAGAACGGCAGCATTTAACTTCATCACACACATGATGGAAAAGTTAAATGAGGCATGCCAAGCACACAAAAGCGATATTATGTAATTGTGACCATTCGTCACATCATTGTTACTAAATTGCCGACTAGATATTCTCTGGACAGCCGCAAACAACTTTGCGAAGTTTCTTTGCGAATAAGGATAATTTGAAACTGATCAATATTAAAAAAAAAATGAAACAGATCATTTAATCCGTATCCAGTGGCGATGTTCGTGGCACAAATAATGATATCAGGTATAATGTTGACCTTAGGCTTCCTCGCTGTGACGTCATCAAGCCGGAAGTTAGGTGTGATCAGTACACACGTTCATACACCGAAAGTAAATTCTATTTTTTTCAGACAATCTTTTCACTTCATGATATGCATCCTACCTGAAATGAATAAATATTTGCACATTTTTTAACTGATGACGTCATCTAACCGGAAGTTACGTGTACGTGTAAATTAATACATACTGAAAATTACCTAAACCAAACACTTTTTTCGAATTAAAACAAATGGTTCCACTAGAAAAGGCTGACTTTCTTCATTCTACAGTTCTGTTCTGACATAATTTTTCTCCACAAGTTAACTGGGCAATGTCGAATAAAACAGTTGTACCCTGCGTTTGTAACTCAACAAACACGAATCTATAGTACTATTATTTTGGCAAGATTAACGGGAATTAATTAATCCCCATCCCAACAGTCCTCGCAAAAGATACCGCAGTCGATAGCTCTTCATATTTTTTGTATCCGGGTATCAAAACTTTATCCTTACAGTGAAGAAAAATACAAACATTACTTGATAATTGACGTCCTTCACCATAAACGAGAATTCTGTAAGGTTAATAATTACATGCCGTGCCCTATTGCAAATTATTATGTTATGTTAGCTATTGCCCTTGTGTATATGTTAACCAGAGTGAGGAAGTTAAAATGCTAAGTGGTTTAAGATTACTTGGTACGCACACTGTCAGTAACCTTATTACTTGCATTAAAAGTTGTTGGGAAAACTCTGAAAAATGCCGGTCAACGTTTACTCATTTTACGCAAATTGAACTCATTTGGAGTTCGTTTCAACAGTGTGTTTTTGGTACTTTTTACCAGGCTATATCATTGGGAGCACCCTTTGTGCATTAATCTTGTTTGGTTTGGCCGGGTCTCAGAGATGCTTATCGCTAGGCCTACCAGGTTGCCCCAATTGTGGAGTGCTGTGGCCTCGTGGTTAAGGGTACTGATTCATGGTCTGCGGGTAAAGCTGCAGGTTGTGGGTTCGAGTCCTGGCGGGGTCACGGTGCGCGTGCGCCCTTGGGCAAGGCGCTTTGTCACTCATTGCTTCTCTCCACCCAGGAGTAAATGGGTACCTGTGAGGGCAGAGATGGTTATGTGATTGATTTAGCTTGCTTGCGCCTAACAGGCAGCATCGAGCTGTATACTCCCCAGGGAGCTGAGATGGTATTTGGAATGTTTAATTGGCCCAATGATCAGGGGTATTAATAATAATACTGTAAGCGCCGTGATTTAGTTTACTACAAAGGGCGTTCTTAAATGCCGATTATTATTATTATTATTAAAATAGGGTAACCGTAACGGAATTATTGTGTAAACGTACCGAATGATCTATCATGATTGACGAGTTCCATCCAGCTACAGATTATTTTACATTTCTTCCCTCCGACCGCCGTCTTAAGACTGTTGTGTGGTAGTGAGGAAGTTACTAAGAGTTTTTAATCCTTCTGCAGTTTGGGTATATAATGGGTCTTAGTTTATTTATTACATTTATTAACCCAGGGTATGCCCAAACAGTTTAAAACTGGTTTCCATTGGGGCCCTGCATACAATAAATAATGACTACAAACATGTATATACAATACATTACAAATACAATACAATTCAATACAATGGGATAAAACATTATTAATTTGATTAATGCATAGTTGTTAAGCAAATACTGTAAATACAATATATTCAAATCTATTATAACTTAATGTACAGTGTGAAGGTTTTACTATAAGGTGGATTCAGTGAACACGAAAAATTTGGATTTATCTTCTAACACAAAAAAAACAATATTGCTGTAACTTTATTAGCTGATTACGGGAGGGGCGAAAACCCCGCGAAAACCCTTTTCAGCTCCTTATTATCTCTTTATTATTATGGCAACCAAGTTTGTTAACTCCGTAGATCAGCACATATCTAGATTTGTATAATCAGAGAAGACAGCGAAAAATACACACATTATTATTTGTAGAAATATTATTACTGACTGAACGTTTTACGTAGTTCAGATTTTTGATTTTTGATTTTTGAGTTAATTATTCTGATATGTAATTAGTAATTAGTAATTATTATTAATTATTATTAGAGGGTGAATGAGTGCTTGGCCGGTTTTAAACACTATATTTTAGACTAGTTCGTGTCTGGTTGTTGATAATTACACGAGCCGAAAAATCGAAACAAGTCAAAAATTATAAACTTCCATCGATTTTGTTCAACGAGTTTACTTCATGTTGTTCGGGACGCCCCTCTAGCTATAATCATGGTAAGTCCAGTCTCGCAATTAGTGGTAAACAACTCTTTATATAGAGATTGGCGCTCGTACTGCGCGGTGTGGCGCAGAAAGCAGCTGTGCCGGTTTGTTGTGAATTTAGGACTATGAAATGCTGACTCATTGGTAGTGTTAAGCCTGCCTACTTGAGGATTGTGAACGTTCAATCATTAAAAACGGTAAAAGACACCGGATTTCACAGGTGTCAAAATTTCATGTGACACTGGAAAACTTGTTTAAGACCAACCAGCCGGTCTATATCAACCGTTTAAAACCGGCCACATGACGGGCTCTAGACCAATAGGAATGGCTAAACTGCCTTAGGTATTTATGAATTTTTTTTTTTTTTTTAGAGCTCGGGACTAAGTCGATTTCCGATATCAAGTGGTTTTAATCTTTACATTTGCTTAATAAAAGTTTGATCTTAACTTACTTTATCTTATCTGATCTTATTTACTGATTTAAGCCCCTGTCACCCCGCCAAGACCATGAGATTTAAAAAAATCTTGACAATCGTACCGAAAACCAAGGAAATCTGGCTCTAAACTGAAATTTCGCCTTCCGAGCTCCAGTCTGCAGACCATGATCAGAATGTGCTGCGATGTCGTCCCGAATGCTACGACTCCGAAACAATCTCGAACCGAATATAACGACTTCGCTACGACTTGGAGAAGAGAAGGGGTTTGCCCTGGTGTTTATGGCAGTATGCGCCGCCGCAGCTTGTAAACCATTATAAGGTGCTACATAATGGGTCTCATATTTCTCATAAAAATATGTACCTTTCTTTAATAATCTCCAGCGCCTTGAGTACCTACTTGTTGGTAGATACGTGCGCTATATAAGACTCCACTATTATTATTATTATTAGTTCACCATAGCAATTCACATCAACCAGTACAATTAACTTAGTGCACATTAAACTTGCAATGGAATAAGGTCACGGTTAGCACAGTTCTCAACTCAAAGCGACCTAATATTCCTATTGAAAGTCAATTGTGGCGTGTCGTACCAGCTGATCTCCTGCGTCGAGATATTCTAGAGGCTAGACGTTGATATTGTAGCGGGAACTTATTGGGCTCTTGTCCTCCGAATCCGGTGTGGAAGGTAATTCTTTCCCCCGGTAAAAGTGTCCGGGGGACAGAATTACCTAGGTAAAAGTGTCCTCCCTGGCCCGTTAATTCTGTCCCCCTCCAGGTAATTCTGTCCCCTCCAGGTAATTCTGTCCCCCAGGTTTTTTAATCCCCCTCTTTTGAAACCCGGAAGGTTATTGATTTGATGAATTCACTCTACAAGGTATACATTTTGGACTTTTACTTTAGTCTGCCCTTCATGAATATAAAAAATATTCAAAGAGGTTGTGGAATGCTCGAAGACATTTCCGTCATTTTTCGGGTATATGTAGCCTAAGGTGTGATGAAATAAAAACGACTATTGTTTCTGTCATGAAATGAGTACAAAAGGTACTTTTGAGAGCTGTTTTTCAGGTCCAGTTTCGACCCGAACCTTCAACTGTGTAAAAGTCGTCGTTGCGGGCAGCAAACAAAACACAGTAAATCGTGACGTAATAAACAGGACTCCCGATGCACAGTAGCATACACGAGTATGTGTTTTGTTTGCTGCCCGCAACGACGACTTTTACACAGTTGCACGTTCGGGTCGAAACTGGACCTGAAAAACAGCTCTCAAAAGTACCTTTTGTACTCATTTCATGACAGAAACAATAGTCGTTTTTATTTCATCACACCTTAGGCTACATATACCCGAAAAATGACGGAAATGTCTTCGAGCATTCCACAACCTCTTTAATTTAGTCTATTAGGTGATTCGGAGTACGGTGAAGTCTATCGTGATTCTACCGCGATAGGTCAACACAGCGGCGATGCATGGCGATGGCCCTCGTCTCATTGATAGTATGATACAACGTCTCCTTGGATTGGTCTGTGTTCCCATCATAGCGCGTAACGAAATTTCCTATTGGACGAATTTCCGTTGTAGAGGGACACGCATTATGTACACATGTTATAATCACTGCCTCAAATCTTGCAGCATGTACTGGCGCGTGCGACACGCTGCTGCTCTCAGTACATACTGCATGGGACACATTTACCAGGGGGACACTTTCACCGTTGGGCAGGGGGACATTTTTACCTGGAGGGGGACAAATTTACCTAAGGTAAAAGTGTCCCCCCGACACATTTACCGGGTCACGAGCCGGTAAATGTGTCCGGGGGACACATTTACCAGGGGGGACAGAATTACCTGTCACACCGGCAAAACGCAAGAAAAGGGGACAAACACACAGGATTTCCAATTTCTAAAGAAACTCTTATTTATTCAGCAACAAGAACTCTGTGGTCAACCTGCTGCTACCAGTACCACAACTGCTGATTCCCAGCATAGAAAACACACGGTCTGAACAAATGTATTCAATTGTAACAACTTTACCATACCCTGGAATCTAGCCAAGCCCTACCCGAGTAAGTGAACAAAAGAACCTCACTGAAGCAACCTATTTAGAGCATATTTCCAGAGCGCGCGCTGGCCAAACCCAAAACGCAAATAGAGCTTTGGCGTTTGTTGGTTCAGATCAAGAGCTTTGTTGTATAATTGTATTTCTTTTCAAGTAAAATGTGAACAGCTCTTTTTTCATTAAATTATATTTTTTCGACTGGCATTTAGCATGGCTGTATGCTAGACTGGTGACGCATATTCTAATACGGTCCTTATGGGCCAATTATTACAATAATTATAATGTACATATGATTACTAATTCAATAATTACAATACGAAAAGCGACCTAATATTCCTATTGAAAGTCAATTGTGGCGTGTCGTACCAGCTGATCTCCTGCGTCGAGATATTCTAGAGGCTAGACGTTGATATTGTAGCGGGAACTTATTGGGCTCTTGTCTTCCGAATCCGGCAAAACGCAAGAAAAGGGGACAAACACAGGATTTCCAACTTCTGAAGAAACACTTATTTATTCAGCAATAAGAACTCTGTGGTCAACCTGCTGCTACCAGTACCACAACTGCTGATTCCCAGCATAGAAAACACACGGTCTGAACAAATGTATTCAATTGTAACAACTTTACCCCACACTGGAATCTAGCCAAGCCCTACCCGAGTAAGTGAACAAAAGAACCTCACTGAAGCAACCTATTTAGAGCATATTTCCAGAGCGCGCGCTGGCCAAACCCCAAAACACAAATAGAGCTTTGGCGTTTGTTGGTTCAATTCAAGACCTTTGTTGTAATTGTGTTTCTTTTCAAGTCAAATGTGAACAGCTCTTTTTTTCAATGAATTATATTTTCATCAACTGGGATTGAGCCATGGCTGTATGCTAGACTGGTGACGCATATTCTAATACGGACCTTATGGGCCAAATATTACAATAACAAACTAAAATGTAAATATGATTCCTAATTCAATAATTACAATAAGAAAATAATAAATTACCGACATGATTACTAATTCAATAACAGACTAAAAATATACAGATATGATTACTAATTCAATAATTACAATAACAAACTAATAAAATGCATGACATACTGCCTATATTTATGAATTTGTTTAATGAAGAGCGTATATTTAAGCAAAGGTGATATTTCGTCAGGTACGATAGCTTCAATCACCAGACGCCAAGTATTAGGAAGTATCAGCTATCTTTTTTGATGACTGTTTTCAGTTGATATTAATTACTGACACTCTAATTTTACACAACAAATTCAAACACACTTAGTTTTGACCCTTTCGAATCGGATTAGACGGTAACAATTGAATAGGAATACGGATAGAAAACAAAGAATCGTGGCAAAACAATTTGTTCGTGTTGTCAGTGCAAGATGTCTTAAAATATGCCTTTATAGATCTACAATTGTGACTCTCCGTTCGGGATAACACATTTCTTCATTTACAAACCATTATCAGAAACTAAATGCTCGATTTCTTGACTTTCTGCTCTACATACACATCGACAAAACATTGCGTAAAACCCCTCTCTGAAACCTTCCAACCGCCACCAGTATATCAACGGATTGATCACGGTAGAGAGAGTGTACAGCACGTAACTTCCCCAAACACACGCTTCAAATATTCCATTCTGCCAAAGGGATGGATTAAGGAATGCAATCACCCTCAGTGCGAAAGCAGGAGCCAACGAAACGAATGAAGTCACAAGAATGAGAACAAACATGACCAATAAACGACGAGTCTGCTGGACTCGGGTTTGATCTCGCTCCTCGTTGGCACTGATGCCCTCCGCGGATGCAAGAGGTGGGGTGTAATGCTTGATCTTACGGAAAGCCAAGTAATAAACAAGAGCGGTGATAAGCCACACGATGTATCCTGCCAGTGAGGCACCAAAGATGTGCACTTTATCAAAAACCCAAACTGGGACAGCATTGTACATCACTAAACCATACGCGAGACTCAAACACCAACAAATGATACAAACTCCGACCACACGACACCCGGTCACCAGTGAATCGTAGCGAGCCGAAGGCATAAGGGACAGGGCCACATAACGATTGATAGCAACAGCCAAAATAGTCAAAATGGAGACTATGTAAGCTCCGGTGATAAAACCTTCGAGTATGGGTGACGGACGCCAGGGATTTACTACGGTGAGGACGGCGAAGATCAAGTCAGCCAGCACCAGGTTGAAGACGAAGATGTAGTATTTGATGCGGAGCTTTTTAGTCCCAGCAAAGACTGCAATCACGAGGAGATTCTCGATTATGGCCAAAGCAGAGACAGCAACCATACAGTACTGCAGGATTCGGGTGATATAGACAGCCATTTCTTTCAGATACTTAACTCTCTAAAATGGAAGAGAACAGACAGAATACGAACTTACAGTAAAAAATAAACCCGGTAAAAAACTCCAAGGAAACGTCAGTGCAAAGGTGTTTCTCTTTACCGGTATGTTTTCCCACATCAAAAATGTGTTTGTGTCTGTGCAAAACGTGAGGTAGTACAACTTACCAGTTGGATAAGCAGGTTGAAATTCCGAATTTGCGATCGTCTCGAAAATCCTTCAGACAAACAACAAAGCAAAATGCAATTTAATAACTTGTAAAAACAGATCAATTTCATATTCTTTGCACCCAACACATTTGGTCATGGCCCTCCGTGTAGGAATCATATAAAAAAGTACCGTACGGTGACGCGTATAACTAATGAATATACCACACAAAATATACCATCACAAAAACAAGACTGCAGAATTACAGTCAAAAGCAGGGTGAGTCTCTGTGTTGACGTGAGGGTGAATTTCTAAATATTTCTTTGTTTGACTTATTACGCAAACCCTGCGAAGAAATGGTTCTTCCTTACTTTGCTCATTAATAAATTCATGACAATATTGCATGCATGATGAGCCATTTGCATTGCCCTTCATATGGTAATTTAAGGCCCTAAAGCTCTTTCTAGTACGGACGTGCTGTGTGCAAAGTGCAAAAATTAGGTTTTGCAACAGATGTAGACAGGTTAGAATTCCGGATCTCCAGCGTTCTTTGTGGTAGGCCTGTGCAAAAACAAGCAAACAAACAAACAAACATCCCAACTAACACCCCAACAACCCAACAAACAAACAAACAAACAAACAAACAAATAAAACAAATAGACCAATTAATAGATTTGTTGTGGTAGCAGACTCACACCGAATTCTTTATTAACTAGTATCGTTTGCCTTTGGCGCGCAGGTATAAATTGGCAAAATAAAAAAGCTCGGAAAAATTACAGTCTTTGGACCCCAGTGTGCTTATACAAAAGGTATACTGTACGTTCATTCCGGTGCCAGTATTTCCGTTTGTTTAAAATTAAACAGGAGTCAACTGGAGTTTGTACTTAATTCCAAAACGTCCCCAGCGGCTTTCGTATAAATAAAAAGCAGCCGTATGGTGATTCGGGTACCTTTGAATACCATTACGAAGTTCATGTTGGCGACACCGGACGGTAGAACTACAAGCATAACCAATGACACTCGATCAGTGATATGGTGGTGCTGCTGCATCATCATAATCATCATCATCCTCCCCATCATCATCATCATCGGCCACAGCCGGGCTGATGGTGCACGGGGACGGTGAATTCCCCATTAAACACAATTTAATTGTCTGTTCGCTGTATTTGGACACAACCCATCAGGGGCGTAAATCCGGGGGGGGGGGGTGTGTTATATTCCCCACCTTTTTTGACCGGGGGATGGGCTATTAAATCATCGCCCCCACTTTTTCGTGATGAGAAAAAAATGTGCATTTTGCGGTATGTTTGGAACATCCCAACAACAAAAATGTATTCAATTGCACTGAAAAGTGGAGAAACAAAGTACCAAAGCTTTATAAATGCGCGTTTTTGATGTAAGCGCGAGTATACATATTGATATACATCTATATCCTGAAGAGCGCCCCTAGTGTAATGTGGTGTCCAGCCAGCCCCCCCCCCGCGAATTTTTGTTCTCCCAAACGACATCCGCATACATGGTTATTTAGCGCCCTCTACGAAACTTTATGATACGCACGCAGGTACATGATCATTTGTTTCCCCACGTTTTGGCGAGTAGTGGGACAGCTCAGTCGATAGAGTGTAGGATTTTGCACCGCGAATATGCGGGTTCGAATCTCGATTTTGGAGTGTTACTTCGTGAAACCAACATTTGTCATTTTGCGGTTTCACGAAGTAACACCGAAGTGGACTTGGGTGTTACTTCGTGGCGTCGGTACTGTAAATCCTGGTCAATAGTGGAGCTGCTTAGGGCCCTTAGGTTTGCCCAAACCGAGCCCAAATGTGTGATAAGAGCATGAAATTCGGCGTGCAGAGTCAAAATGGTCTGAGAATTATTTTAAGGGGTAGACCCACCTTTAATCTTGCAGATTTGGGGGCGGAGCTTGATTTTTTGAAAGAGGGGGTGAATGAAAGCCTTGAAATAAACTTGGACATGACATAAAACATTCTAGCATTTCAAAACGTCGTATTTCCGCCCAATTTGTGGGCGTGGTCTAAATGTGTAAAGGGGTGGCGTACACAAGTGGTTTGATCCAATTGTGACAAATATCGTGCATTTTCGTGGCAAACCCATGGAAATTGGCAGGTCTGGTTGAACTTAAAATAGGCTGAACATATTTTTACAAGTAGGATCTACTTTGAAATTTGCCCACTGTGGGGGCAGGGCTTTTTTTGAAACGGGGCGCACAACATCCAGAAATACACTGTATCTGCAGGATTCAGATACAACAAAGTCCCATATGGATTCCTTTCTAAAGTCCTATATCCAGAGAATTACCAGCGTTAAGTGATTATGACAAATAAATAGGTATACACTTACATATGAAACTTACATGTTTAAGAAGGAAGCTGTGTTTTAAAATACGCCACTGTCAGGCACCCGTGTGGGAGCATGTAAAAGGAAAGGCTGTAATAATTAGTGTAGAGCACACATTAAACAATCAAGAGGAATAACAATCATACTGCAACGACATTTGTTTTTAAAGTTCAAAAGTAACGTTGGTAATTCAATCGTGCCAATTAACTAAATATTAAGATGAATTGATGATTCAAAACTGATCATCTAAACACTCTACAATATTCTCCTTATGTATATTAATAATTACTATTATTAGTTTTATAATTTTACCTTTTAGAATGCAAATCAAAGCTTAATGATCAATACAATTCGGATTACTATGCGCCTATCAATAAATTGTTTCCCCACCCCTCCTCTGGGCTGCTCAAGGTCCGATGCCGGTGTTTGATTACGTTTTTCATATCCCAGTGTGGCGATTTGGCCACTCAAACACACGGTTACCATTGGCGCACTACACTGCGAAAACTGTAGTGTTAATTTAACACAATTCGGTATCTACATAGGACAATACCAGTAAAATCTAACGCCAGATGGTCCTATATAGATACCAACAGTGTAAATTTAACACTGCAGTTTTTGCAGTGTACATGGAAAGGCAATCACTAGTGCGTCCTGGGTATGTATGTCGGAGATTGTCACTTACATTTTTGGGGGGATTACATTGGGGATTATGTCAACTTCCAAATTGACAATCCCCACGTCTTGGGTGGGTCAGCAGGGGTGGGGCTGGGGAAACAATTGATACTCACATTATCGTTTCGTGAGAAAAGGGACGCAGGTCGGACGAAAGTTTCCCTTAGACCCTATCAGGACATGGGGAAAGTACAATGTGTCCCCTTGTACCAAGAAGACAAAATAACCCGATCCGGCAAAGATATTCCACTAATAAATATTGCTTAACATTAACCAACAATACACAATAAATAATATATAGCCTATATACAGACTCGATGATTAACATACTTCACTAACAATTCTAAAAAGCGTACAGCAGCGATCTAAAGCCATGCAGGTAAGATTTGATCTGAAACCTTTTTTTGGTTCAAAATGACACTTCCCCGGGTCACCTTTCCGACCCACTTCGACCCGGAATCTGTCGCGGAACTTTAAAAGTCTGTATCAATATGATATTTACATGGTTGTGTTTTAAAGACGTCAATCATCAAAAACTGTGTATATCATACTTGATACAAAGCTATATACAAAGTGTTGTCGCTGGTTTCAGTGTAGGACTTTGAGGGAAAAGTCCCGTTAATTAATAAAAACTTTAATCTTGTGTGAAGCAACTTAGTTTTGACCTCTCTGAAATTTAGTGAGAGACAAGCACACCAAATTAAAGGTAAACGGACGAAAAACTAAGAATAGAAAGAACAGACAAGAGATTGCTTTGTTGTGCTGTCTCAAAAGATGTCTTACATTTCGATTTGATCTAAAATTATGAAATTCTTCCCGTGATAGTGAACCTCTTCTTTTACAAACCAGTCTCAGCAAGGGTATTCTCATTAGTAGTCAGGTCAGCTTCAATTTGGTTAGGTTCTGCCTTTTTGACACAACGACAGAACATGGCATAAAAACCCTCTCTAAAACCATCCAATCGCCACAAGTATATCAACGGATTGATTGCGGTAGAGAGAGTGTACAGCAAGTAACTCCCCCAAAGCAATCCAAGGAAGATTTCATCGCTCCAAAGATATGTGTTGAAGAATAAACACAAATTTAGCACGAAAGCAGGAACCCAAGTTGTGAATGACACCACAAGGATGAGAACAAACATGACCAATAAACGATGAGTCTGCTGGACTCGGGTTTGATCTCGCTCCTCGTTGGCACTGATGCCTGCCGCGGATGCAAGAGGTGGAGTGTAATGTTTGATCTTACGGAAAACCAGGAAATAAACAAGAGCGGTGATAACCCACACGATGACCCCTGCCAGTGGGTATCCAAGGAAATGTACCACGAAAAAAACCTCTCCTGGGACAGCATTATAAATCACTAAGCCATACATAGGACCCAAACACCAAAAAATGATACAAACACCAATCAGACGATACCCGGTGATCAGTGAATCGTAGCGAGCTGGTGGCATAAGGGACAGGGCCAGATAACGATTGATAGCAACGGCCAGAATAGTCAAAATGGAGACCGTGTACGCTCCGACGATAAAACCTTCGAGAACGCCTGACGGGCCCGGGCTCCAGTGAAGTGCCATTGTGAAGAGGGCGTAGTTCAAGTCGGCCAGCGCCAGGTTGACCACAAAAGTGTAGTACTTGATGCGGAGCTTTTTAGTCCCAGCAAACACTGCAATCGCAAGGAGATTTTCGATCGCAGCCATCGCAGAGACACCAGTCATAGAATACTGCAGCGCAGTGACGACTTTGACAGCCATTTATGTGATACTATACGCTCTAGAAAAAAAAGTAAAATGGAAGATAAAAGAATACGAACTACGAAATGTTGTCACTTAGATTACCTTTTTTGTCTTACAAATAGGACTATAAGAGCCTCATGAGTGAAATGCCACATCGTTATTAATATTAAATTGCTTGAATGGTTGCCTACATGCATGGTTGTGTATCTGCCTGTACAGAAGTTAAGTATTAAAGGCGATCTATTACGTTTCAAATATACTCTTCGATATGGAATAGCGCTCACTTGAAAATGGATGTTATTGCGCCAGTACAAAAAAGAAAAGAAAAGAATAAAATGCCAACTTAAGATGTGCAGAAAAGTCTACTTCATATTTTTTTCGTAACAAACATGTTAAGAGATGTATAAAGTTTGCATGGTCATAGATTCCATTTAGTTTAAATCATGATCAACAAATGAAGGGTTCATTTGCAAAAGCAGCTAACAGCCAATTTTACAAAAATGGGGGAAAATCATCCAAGTATTTTTTTTCTAAACAATTTAAATTCTTTTGCAAATAAAAATTGTCAAGAATTCTCAAGATATAATGTACACGTAATGGGCTCTGCGTAAAGCAGATTTTCTAAAAAGGTAAAAAATGGAGATAACTGTTTTTGCAAATGCACTCTTCATATCTTTATGAAATGCTGAGTTTAAATCCTATCCTGCCATTACATAAAAAAAGCAATGCAATTGCCAGATTGGTTTCTGTTTTTTTTTAAGATTTAAGAAGTAACACAATGACGTTGTGTATCTGTCTGTGCAAGAGTTAGGTATCACAATTTACCAGTTGGATGTATGGAAGTTGGAATCCCTTGCGATCTTTATGGTAATCCTACACGAAACAACATATTGAACAAAGTTACCAATTTACGTTGTGCAAACACATCCGCTTCATATTCGTTGTAACTGACAGATTATTAGCATGCTCGAGATTATTGGTTCATCGGGGGTTTAAGTTTGTCTGGCACAATTCCATTAGCTGTAAAGCATATCGTTTTATGAAATAACTCCCAGTCGCATTGGATCATACTCTATCAGTACAAAAGAGAATGCAAATCGTATACACTCGTGAGGGTGAACTTCTAAATCAATTATGTTAACTTGATTACGACCCTACCCCGTGTGAAAATGGTTCTTCCTTCCTCTGCTCATGAATAATTGACAATGATACATTCATGATGCCAAAATTGCATAGAGGCCAAATGAATTTACTTGCTAAACATCGCACGAATAAACAACAGAATGGGCCCCAGATCTAAGTTGCTCCGTCAAGGCCGGGACATGTGCATATAATTGCAATAAAGCAAAAGTGGAAAAGCAACAGTATCGCATTCTCGCAGTTTAAGTTGGCTTAACAGAGTCCATAGGGAAAACTACAGGCCTACTAATTCATCGTAGTCAGACCTATCTGTACACGCAGTAAAACCTTAACAAGAAACATATTGTCACTACTTGTCAGCAGAAAGGAAAATTTGGAACAAATGATGTTGAATATTTTCACCCAGGCGCACCGAATCAGATGGGAGTTGAGCCGCAGGAGATCGCAGGCACACCATGTAAAAATTAGACCTTCAATCTTATGCTTTTTGAACACCCAATTCGTTTGAAGAGAGACAAAAATTGCTCAAAATCTTAAAGCTGCATTTCGCAAATTTGTTGTGTTTTTGTTCTCTTAATACATTTTCAACTTGTATGTTTTAACCTCTTTTTTTGTGGACGTTTGCAACCCTCCGAAAAAGTTTTTGTTTTCGGCACGAACAGATCCATTTCGCTAGCAGACTGGCTCCCGTTCTGTACATTATCGATACTGCTTGTGGCGCGGGAACCAGCCTATCCCGCGGGAATGGAATTATTGTCTGCCAGCCAATAATTCGAAATTGTAAAGTAACAGTTCAATACCATTAAACTATCTGGGCGATTTGTTTCGGTCGATGTTCCCTTTAAAGTACATAACTTTTGTATTGTTAGAAAAAGAGCAATTTAGAACAGAAGTCAATGTTTCGAGATGAAACTCGGAAAACGCATAACAACTAACACATTTTTAGCTCAGTAGTTCCTAGACTTTTTGAGAGAACAAAAATAAAATATTGCACAATTCCCGTATCTCTATTTCGTTGCTAATGTACGTAAAAAAGGGGGACGCCGCCACCCTTTTTCAAATCCACCTTTCATTCAAAGGCAACTTTTGGTCGGAAAAGTGGACGTTTTCAGGAAAATGTGAACAGGAACGTGGTAATTTACAATTCTGTTGGGACTTAAATTTTAGGATGTTTGCACGTTTTGGTCAAAGGTCATTCAGTGGTCACCATATACTGGTCATTTTATGGCAATCATAGAAAACTTGCTATTGGCGGTTGTCATGCGTTGCATGTGTTGTCTGAGAATTTAATTGGCTAAACAGTCTTTTCCTATTTATTGAATTCGTGTGTATTTTGTAAATATTTTACAAAATAGTATACATTTTGCCTTTGTAAGCCTGGAATTAAGTGTGCATTGTATTAACCCAATTCAAACTGCAACTAGAAAGCACTCAGAGAGCGCAAACCTCCGCCAAGGCTAAACAATTCCCCACTATAGTGTCAGTACACCCAAAAGAAATAGTCGCATAGACCCATCCACTGGACGTCTATATTTTATTGCACATTTAAAATGTCAACAGGATTGCTCGGATTCTGAATTTATCGAAATATAGCAAAGTGTATGTTGTGGGGTTCTATATCTGACATCTTTCTTCTGGCACCTCGCATCTTGCATTCGCGTCACATGTAATGTGATATGTTTACTTTGATGGCGTGCGCGCTTCCACCATTAACGCGCTCTTTATAGGCGTATAGCCACAGTGTACATGTATTTCATGTCATGTGGACTGTGTGTAATGGTTACAGCCCGATAGTCCGAAGGTTTTTTAGTCCGAAGGGTCATTAGCCCGAAGGTTCGTTAGTCCCAAGGTTCGATAGTCTGAAGGGCCCATTAGTCCGAAAACAGAATAAGGTTAATTAATCCGAAGGTTCGATACTCCGAATAGACGATAGGGTGCGATAGTCCGAATCGACAATAAGGTTCAATAGTACGAATAGATGATAAGGTTCGATATTCCAAATATACGGCAGGGTTTGATAGTCCGAATGGACAATACGGTTCGTCAGTCTGACACTTCAGAGTATCGGAACGTATTGTTGATTCGGACTATCGGACCTTATTGAAGATTCGGACTATCGGACCTTATTGAAGATTCGGACTATCGGACTTTATAGTCTTTTTCGGACTATCGAACCTTATTGTTAGTTCGGAATAATGAACCTTCGGACTATTTCACCTTATTTTCGTTTCGGACTATTGCATCAAAATGTTCGGATTAACGAACCTTATTTCATTTTCGGACCAACGAACCCCGTCTTATGGAAATGTTGTGCATTCGGACTATCGAACCTTCGGACTAAAGAACCTTCGGATATTGGACCTTCGGACTATCGGGCGGCCCCGCGTGTAATACGGGCGTAGACCTACGTCTGGTATTATGGAGCGCCAAAAGTAGACAACCGTTTCGGATGACATAGCCATTTCTTTCAGATACTACACTCTCTAAAATGGAAGATAGCAGACAGAAAACGAACTTAAAGTCAATACATACCCGGTAAAGTCCTCCAAGGAAACGTCACTGTAAACATGTTTATGTTTTCGAACATCAAGAATGTGTTTGTGTCTGTGCAAAACGTGAGGTAGTACAACTTACCAGTTGGATAAGCAGGTTGAAATTCCGAATTTGCGATCGTCACGAAAATCCTTCAGACAAACAACAAAGCAAAATGCAATTTAATAACTAGTAAAAACAGATCAATTTCATATTCTTTGCACCCAACACATTTGGTCGTGGCCTTCCGTGAAGGAATCATATGAAAAAGTACCGTACGGTGACGCGTATAACTAATAATATACCACACAAAATATACCATCACAAAAACAAGGCTGCAGAATTACAGTCAAAGCCAGTGAGTTTTGTGTTGACGTGAGGGTGAATTTCTAAATATTTCTTTGTTTGACTTATTATGCAAACCCTGCGAAGAAATGGTTCTTCCTTACTCCGCTCATCCATAAATTCATGGCAATATTGCATGCATGATGACCATGTGCATTGCGCTTCATAAGGTAATTTAAGGCCCAAATGCTCTTTCTATTTTGCTATCCTCAGACGTGCTGTGTGCGAAGTGCAAATATGAGATATTACAGCTTACCCGGTGGATGTAGACAGGTTAGAATTCCGGATCCACAGCGTTCTTTGCTGTTGGCCTATGCGAAAACAAAAACAAACGATACAAAAAGACCGATTATAGCTTTGTTTTGGTAGCAGAGTCACACTGCATTCTATATTAACTTGTATTGTTTGGCTTTGGCGCACCGGTAGAGTGTTACAAAATGGAAAAAAAAAAGAAGCTCTTTAAAATAACATGTTAATTTAAATTCATAATACCCAAGACAGTTTACCCATTGCCATTGGTGAGAGCTCGTCACATGGCCGGTCTTAAACGGGTGATTAAGACATTGCTGGCTGGTCTTAAATACTTTTCACACAAAAACGATCCAATTTTTTTTTTATTGACTTCGCAAAAAAAGGCAGGCACTGCGAACACCACCATCTGTTTCTCAAACAAAATTGGTTACAGTGGTCAGAAATTGCCTCAGATTGCACCAAACGGCATCTAGAATCCAAACATTTTTAGGGGCCCTTAAAGCGGGCCCCGAGCCCCTTGCCTTATTTTTTTTGGACCCACATTTTGGCGGACCAATATTTTTGGCCCCCCCCCCCAAAAAAAATGTGTTCTGGATCCGCCCTTTGACTTTTACAGTTTTATTGGTGGAACTTTCACGGATGCGCAATAGTCCTAAATTCACAACACACTTAGCACAGCTGCATCTGCGCGTCATCGCGCAGTACGCGCGACGCGCACGTTAATCTCCATAAAAGTAGTTGTTTACATCTTACTCGCGAGCTGGACAATTAAATTATATGAGCTCCGTGCGCCAGAAAAGAGGACGCCCTTTTACCTAGCAACGACGTCCCATGGGTGGGACATTTAGCTGGTTAACGCGCACCGTGCGTTCCTTGTGTGTGACGCACGACACCAGGGGATTTGTACTATGTACACGCCGTACACGCAGTGGTACGGCCGCGCGTCGCGGCGAAATTGCAGTCAGGCAAGATGGCGTCGGTCGGTCACCCACAACTGTACTTGGTTTGCCGGTGCGGGGGTAGTTTTGAACGAAGCGGATAGCTAGTTCGAAAAACAGAAAGTAAAATGGTTCAACAAAATCGTTGGAATTTTTTTAATTTTTGACTCGTTTCGATTTTTGGACCGAAAAGTTTTGATTTTTTGACCGACAAGGTATTTATGAATGCATGACGTGAACAGTTCTCTTAAGACCAACCTACCATATAGGCTACTCGGGTTGGGACACACCATCTTGGGGAGCCTGCCCTGGGGGATTAAGATATTTATAAGCACTTATCCTATAATTGGTTAACATTAACTATTCATAAGATGGAATTTTTGCGTCGGGGTGATATAAATCACATTCCATCTCATGAATAGTTAATGCGGTATCCGCTGCTATTTACATCAGATTCGAACCAGCCAACCATTAGCTCGGTGGTCGAGTGGTAGGACATTTGCACTAGAAGGCAGGAGGTCGTGGGTTCGAGTCCCACCCGAGTGATTTTTTTTCCAACTTTCACTCGGGAGGTAACATACAGTGTATATGCGTCGGTGAAGGGCAAAACCTAATTTGATTTACATCACCCCTACGCAAAAATTCCATCTTATAAATACATCGTTCTTGCAAGAAAACAGTGGTTATTCATAAAGTAACAGTGCCAAACTATGTCAAAAAATATCTCGTATCAACATTATACGACTCAAATCTATTCCTGTAGTGCAAGTCTTTTGCTGAATGCCGGCCTCACTGTTTAGACAGGCCTAATACTGAAGGAATGGATATTGTGGCGGAACCGGGGGTTGGGGAAACCCGAGGAGACTGGTCTTATTTATCCCAGGACTCCAACCCACACCTATTATCCTACTAAAATATTTATTAGCCTGAGGAATGGGTAAGCGGCTACCCATAAGAAAGGGGGAACAATTAACGAACGGTGGACTAAGCCTAGGGGCTTTCGTTTGGTGGAAGTTTACCACCGTTTTATGAATGCTTGACTTGAATCTAAACAGAGCAGTACTTAAATATAATAACCCTCACAATGATCCAAATAATTATCACAGAGACAAATGTTTCCAAGGGCGATCAATAATTGGTCTTATTCTCTGATCAACTATTCGACTATAATCTTTATAAACACCATCAATCAATTTATACACTTATAATACACAGTTGCAATAATCCTTAATGAGTTAAACAAGGGTCGACTGCACCCCCTTATATAATGATCTTGGATTTCAATAATCCGCTCGAGGTCAACTGCACCACGCACAAAGTTAGCTTACAGGTATATTAAATCTTGGTGGTCAACTGCACCACGTAATAATAAACGTGTAGCTTGTGATATTCCCTACTGTGCTTACACAATATAATCTTCACAGGGCTTACACAATATAATCTTCACAGGGCTTACACAATATAATCTTCACAGGGCTCATACAATATAATCTTCACAGGGCTCATACAATATAATCACAGAAGGAGGTGGACCTCACTGGGGACATTAAGCTCACTGACCAGGGCTGCACTCAACCGTCGCCACACCAACAAGTATGGAACAAGCGGCACGCAAACCCTCCAATCAATCTCAGCTTGGCTAAGTTCCAACTCAACTGGTTCGCCAAGTTAAATAAGACTTCTGAATTAACTCCACAAATAATTATACGAATGGCTAGTCTAATTACCCTTGCACAGATCTAGTGGACCTCAATTACCCTCACACAGAATTAGTGAACCTCAATTACCCTCGCACAGATTTCGTGAACCTCAATTACCCTCGCACAGATCTAGTGGACCTCAATTACCCTTACACAGATTTAGTGGACCTCAATTACCCTCACACAGATTTCGTGAACCTCAATTACCCTCGCACAGATCTAGTGGACCTCAATTACCCTTACACAGAATTAGTGAACCTCAATTACCCTCACGCAGATTTAGTGGACCTCACTACACTTTAATACAAATTGAGTGGATCGCAATCATCCTTACACAGATAAAGTGGACCTCAACCCGGCTCAGTCAGTGAAAGTAAGTTTCAGGTGTACCTCACAGGAACTGGGGGCAGAGTCAACCAGTCAGGCAATTTAGTCCAATGATTATGGGATCGTCTCACTAGTCAGGCCCACCGTTACGGTGTTCAACAGACCACTAGCTAGTCCCGCTAGCGTTTAACCAATTATTAACAATTCCTCCTTTTTTGTTCCAACATTAATCCAACCCACTAAAATACCCGTAGTCCCGCTACAACTCCCTATAAATCTAAGATCACAATTATCTTACATAACTAACCTGAAGATCCACTGAAATATATTAGATAACAATTAGCTTATATAAATGTTAACTAACCCGGAGCTACAGCTCCCGAACCCGGCCGCACCAGAGCGTCACCGTCAGAGAGCTCCTACTCCCGACCGGGGGATTCGCAACAGCAACGGAAGACCCCAGCAACGGCATCGCAACTTGGTTCGTCCCTACACCCCGAGGCTTGGCTTCTTGCACTTACTTGGCAACAGCACCGGAACGCGTTCCTACTGCATTGACGCCATCTTGCGAACTCGCTAGATGATCTCAGGACCCCAGGCTATAACATGCTAATTCTTGCACAGCCTTTGCAATACACGATGCTGATTGGTCAATGCATTCCATGAATTATTTATGTCCTGATCACGCAGCACAATTCATTTCTAATTGGTCCATGCGCATTTAGCATTATAAACACGCACCAGATGTCCTAGATCACGCGCACAAACGATTTCTATGACTAGTTAGACTCCTACACGAGTCTTCATTTACATGCACCCCTGTTTCGTCACAATATCATGGCTGCTATAATCCTGCTGTTTGTTGATTGTAACCGGTAAGTTTGTATTGACTTGTGTTTCAAATTATCTAATTTTTCTTAATTATGAACATGTGTCCATATTTCCTACCTCCGTGATGTGTCAATTTGTACATGTACCTTTCGACATTTATATTACGTTAAATTTTACATTATTTTGTATTTTGTTAATATGATGTAAGACTCTTTGCGAAATGTTGAATCTATAGGAACTTCTGGTGTACTCAGAAACTTTAAATGTAAGACCAATAAGACTTAGAACCGTTGGGTCATTAACCTGTAGGCAGAAACAATACACACCGGCAAGCGCGGATCCAGAGGGGATGGAGACCCCCCCCCCCCGCTGACACCAAAAACAAAAACTACAACAATTATATTGTTATGTAGAACTCGAGCTGTAAAGGTTTCCGAGGAACGTCAATTTCTGTTTATTTATTCCACACAATAAACGGACGATGTTCTTCTTGATTTTGATGATTGGTTTATTCTGACTCTTGTACTCTAACAAATCTCTTGGTTTCGTACTAACCAGATAATTCTAAAGACTCTAATTCTAAAAGCACTGTCTATCGCATACATATCCTTCCTGTAAGCCCGCCAGACGTGAACTGCCTTAAACCGCGCTAAGTAAGCCCGCTTGGCACATCTGTACATGAGCTGATCATGCAGTAATCACGCGCTGTGCATCACGCGACACCCAAAATAGCTGCCAAACTAGGTCATACACTGCATAGCGCCACCAGCGGCCACTCCGCCACAATATTAACAATACAAAACATAACACTCTGCAGGAGTTATTTTCTTCATATGGTAAAACAAAAATCCGACGGTCCTTACCTTCCCTTCGCAAAAATCCTGGATCTGCCCCAGAGCGTAGGCACGCGTGTTGGGTGTATGTAACAGGGAAAGCTGTGAGTAATGCATTGTGAAGGAGCATACATTGAACCATCAGGAAGAATAATGAAATGTACAGGGAACGAACGTAAAATACGTAGCGATGATAATCAAATACACGTAGTGCTAATTCAGTAAATATTAAGATGAATTTATTATTAAGAACTGATCATCTAAAAACGCTACAATGTACAATTTATTTAAGTAAACGAATTAAACGGGTATAATTTGACTTTTTAGTATGTAAATCAAAGCTTTATGATAAATAAATTTGAATTATGTAAATGGCGCCACCGTCAAACTAGTCTGTCTCCCCCCCCCCAAATTTAAAAAAAAACACCACCCAATTTTTTTTCTGCGGCCAAAAGTTTTGGGCAACATTTTTTGACAAAATTTAAACTTCTAAAAAAAATTGAAAACAAGTTGTGAGCCCCCCCCCCCAAAAAAAAACATATCCTGGGTGCGCCACTGCTTGCTTTCTGGTATGGAGCTTGCCCCAAAAGTCTCCGGTTTCTGGTATGGAGCTTGCCCCAAAAGTGGTGCGGCGACGCGGTGTTTTTTTTCTCCCAACTTTTGTTCTTCTTCAAATGTCGGCTGATGTTGCAGATGACGCTTCGATCCCCTTAAACTCTCAAAATATCCTCCAGGGTTGAGCTTGAGGTGACCTCAGTAAGGCCATAATGCTTGGGAATTCTGCACCCACTTACGATCTCGTCAGACACGAACATTCGATTCTTCGAGAAATTTGGATAGTCAAGACAAAAATCAGAGAAAACGGTAACGTCGGACTATATACTACAGCGACATCGACATCGTGCTGTTCGTGCATGAGCTGCCTGGCTGGTCATTAGTCTGCTCCCTTACATATTGCGCTAATTGAAAAAAAAAATACAGGTTCTAGAAACACGACCATCGCTCCCCTAGTCTGGCTTCTAGACGCACAATTACAAAATTACAACACCGTCTGCAAATGGTGCCCGACTAAATTAGTGCAAAATACATGGGAGCCCAGAGAGGCCACATAAAGCTTATACTCGATCATAACCCCATCTAAACACACGTTAAAATTGTGCAGCAGCAGGATTCCAGTCAAACCAGTGAGTTTGGTGGTTTTGAGACATCATCTTACATTGGAAAAAAAAAAAACCTTTTTAATTTTGCCGACGCACATGGCTACGGCGAAGCGCGCGCATACCAAAAACCGTACACTTTTTTGGGACCTAAATTGCCCGATTTTTTTTTACATTTTCATTGGGCCTACTTAAAATTGTGTATCTGTTTGTGCAAGAGTGAGGTATTACATCTAACCAGTGGGATGTATGGAGGAAGGAATTCTGGATATTTTGCAAACTTTTTGGTTGGCCTATTCGGAAACAACAAGTTGAACAAAGTGTTTTTTAAGGGAAATTTCATTAACTTTTTGCGATGGATCATATTGTAGCCCTACCGGTCAAAAAGGGAATGCAAAAGGTATCACTACGATTGTTAATTTGGTTAAAAATTGAATATATAACACGAAGACATTCCTTTCTCGTGAAATGTCAATTGCAGTTGGTTTTTAACTTACTTTCAAAAATACACGAGGACTTGTCTTGCAGTTAGCCCCAGATGGTTCAATCTGAGAGTCTGCCGTGTAGGAATCATATAACCAGAAGCCGTATGGTGACTCGTATACTAATTAATTAGTGTATTCGATATAAAGCGGCAGAACTGCAAAACCGGTGAGACTCAGTGGTGGTCCAAGGGTGAACGTCTAAATGATTTTTGTTAACTTTAGAACGACACATATTAGAACGACACATACACTGGTACCATATTTCAAAAGGTGGCGCTGTTCAAATTCGACGATTATTAGCACTAGATTACAGAATGTTCTACCGTATTTAGAACAGACAGAAATTATACCAGGGGGGGGGGGGGGGGGTTCGACCTATTTCTTAGGAATTTGCATGGAATTTGTTTTTTTTGGACAAAGCAGGGCGGGTTTTGACCCCCAAAACCCCCCTCTTGATCCGCGCCTGATGGATTACGCTTTTCAGGGCGGCACAATTATTGTCGATTGTCGAGCGAAGTTCCAAAAAGGGCACCCGTAAAAGGTAAAAGGTAAAAACTTGTGACAAAAAAGGGCACTCTTTGAAAATATTGGGGAGGGGGTTAAACTCCGGTCAAATAAGGGCACTTGGATGGAAAAGGGCAGTCTTTACAAAATATTGGGGAGTAAAACCCTCCTACCCCCACCCCCGCTGGCTACGCCTCTACACAACACGTGAGTAAATGTTTCTTCCTTCCTCTGCTCATTAATAAAATCATATGGCAATATGACATTCATGATGACAAATTTGCATTGCACTTTACATGTTATTAAAAGTAAGTTCGAAACCATTTCCATGCTAAACCTGGAATGAATAAACAGCCGTTACGATAGGCCCCAGATGTAACTTGCTCTTTCAAGGCCGGAACATGTGCATATTATTACATTAGCAACAAAAGTGCATGTTGCCTATCGCATCACATTATCGCACTGTCGCATTAAGAGTTGGCTTAAAGGTATAGTCCATCATTTGTAATTTGCGCATTTTGTTAGTTTGAGGCAACAAAAGTGATCAAAATCTAAAGAAGGGTGCTGAACAAACTTACCTGATGAAGTTTCAGCTCAGCTTCAGCTGTACACTCCGAGAAAAACAACATTCTCAGATCTCGATTTCAAGTCAAAAGTTGCTGAATCATGTTTTGAATTGGGCCTTATTTCAGCATCCGAGACACATTCTCACTGAGCCGATTGTTGCTACACGATGTCGCGCACTGATCTGACGAATTATAGCAACCGCGCGCGCGTGTGCGTCGTGTCAACCCTTGCGCGCGCTTCGCTGGATAAAAAAAAACGAACTACTAACGGAAATTTCCAACGGTGCGTCTTACGACCTACTTTCGTTGATTTCTTCCAAATGACAGCTTGCCAGAAAGATTAATTTCACAGGGAGTTTAGTCCCCTTACTATCTTTCACCCAAGTATGTTTTTCAACAATAATTACGCCAGTTACTTTTTGGATAGCTGCAAATGATGGACTCTGGCTTTAACAGAATGCAGACAGTAGTTTTATTCCCGGGGAAACAACTACATTCTCCGTTGTCATAACAATCTGAACACGCAGCAAAACCTTTATGACGGAGTTATGGTGCGTGTGCCCTAGAGCAAGGCGCTTTGTCGCTCATTGCTTCCGAGTCCACCCAGGAGTAAATGGTTACCTGTGAGGTGAGAGACTGATTACGGCGAAGAGCCCCAAAATGGCTGCCTACCGGCCGTATATGCACCCCAGGAAGTTGAGAAAGTTTCAGGAGTGTTAGCCCGTTTTACAGGGGTAATAATAATTGTAAAGCGCTTTAATACCAGGGGCAGATCCAGGATTTTTTTTGCAGGGGGGGTTCATCAGCAAAACATTCTGATATGTAGACAGTATTTTTCTCCGAACGGCTGCTCGTTAATTCCAAGTTTTACAGAATAGTGCATTCGGCCTTAAATTATCATGTGAAGTGCAACGCAAAGTCGGCATTATGCATACAATATTGTCATGATTTTATTATTGAGCAGAGTAAGGTAGAACCATTTCTATGCGGGTTGTGTTGTAATAAAGTAAACCAAGAAATATTCAGCAAGTAACGCTCACATCCCCACCGTCTCACTGGTATTGTTTGTAATGGACCGATCCAGTAAGCACCGCCCCTTGGTTTTCTGACCAATCACAGCCGTATTTCATGTCCGACATGCGTGCACGCGCGTATGATGCGCGCGGCAGGAAAATGCAGTGTG